ATAGCTGAAAGCAGAGAAGTCTTATCCCGACACGATGATCAACAAGGACTGAAGAACACATACAAAGTAATCGTGCTTATTTTTATTAGATGTTCCTTTTACAATTAGAACTGCAAAGGAGTACTACAGCCACTGCATGCACATCTACCATAAGAAAGACCACACTGTACCTTAACACTCCTTAGGTAGTAAATAATTTACTTTACCTAGCTTGGTCACTCAAGAAAGAATGCGGCATCGGATACAAGAATACAAAAAAAACATAAAATAAGATACAATTACAAGGAAATTGTTTAAATCAAGCAGCAAAACATAAAGTGCATTTTGTGCTCCTGAAGCTTTCTTCGGAGTCACTCAAATCAGTTGGCACCAACCACACTCCAGTGTCAAATGAAAGAAAATATAAAGAAATAAAGACACCTGCTTGAATGTCTTCTTGGGATCCGTCTCTCTGACTGAAAAAAAACTTCTGCTAAATGTAGAAATTGATACAGCTTTCGGAGTATTTTAAAAAGAGCCAGAATTGTGCCGATACCTTTGTCAAGTGTTCTACAAATCTTAAGAGCTACCATATTTCAAACATTTCCCAGTTCCTCCTCTCAATACCTCCAGGTGCATACATTTCCTTGCTTTTAAAACTGAAAGCAGTTCACAAAAGATAAATCCCTTGAGATAATTCTCTCAGACCAGCATCAAGGATATCACATCACACAATGCGACTCCATTCATCGGAGCTAGTCCAGTGAATGTACTGGTAAAACTAAGCACCCTCAACACGATGAAGTAAAAATACAACTTGTCTTCCTACAGCCGTAAATAAGTGTTACCATTCTTCATACTTAACTTTCTTTAACAATTCCACATAAAAACAATTTCAGAGACTTCTTTAATAAAGCACAAACCCTTTCTTCTTGGACACAATTTACTGCACGGCTCATCAGCACTACAGGAAAAGTCCCACCTATATCTTCTTTTTTATTCTGTCTCTCCTGGTAATAAAGCCTGTTTTCTGTGATCTCTGAAGTGCAAAAGCTAAAATTAAACTACCACTATAAAAATGTATCATGTACCTTAACCAACATATGTGAAATATCATTGTGAAATAAAGAATATTCTAAGTTTGCTTAAGTGCATCCTATGCAAAAGTCAAAAAGGTCTGAGTCATCTTGTTTTTATTAACGTCCTTTCCGGCAGCTGCCTTTTAAATATTACTCTCTCAAATTATTGTCTTGGCTCATATTAGGTTCACCAATTCATTTGCTATTTTAATGCAGACTGAAATAAGCTTTTCTCTTTTTCTGTGTAGTGAAGTGAGGCAGAATGAGAACATTGTTTTGCTTCACTTGGTGACTGCATAAACAAAGAGGCTCGGACTCCACTGTGGAACAGAAGGGATGTAGAGGGGGGACACTGGTTTGCATTTCAAGTTCAATAAATCAGATATAAATGGAAAACAATTATGATAATATTACATTGTACTTTCCACACAGATTGTAAATACATTTTTACAGCTAAAGACCTGGGACTTGTAGGCACATTCTACAAAAATAATCAGACTTTTCAAAAGCATAGTGCTTTGCAACCATTAGGCCTGACATTAAATTAATTATGTACAGTCAAGACATGCACTCTTTTAGCAGGACTGAATTCAGCCAAACTGTGCAGACATATAACAAACAGAAATATTACTTCCAAAACCAAACATTAGACTCGAAATATGCATGGCTATATAGGATAATCTAGTGCTTTTAAGTTACCTTTATCCACAAGGTGGCACCTACAATACTTAAAAAGGCAGTTTAATTATAAATTACAAACAATACTTAAAAGACCCAGCAAATAAACAAGTTACTTAAGAAATATCTCTCTCCAATGGCAACACATGTAATTGATATTACTTACTTATCAACTTATAAAAGCATGAAACAAAAATATCAAATGCCAAAAATTAATGACCAGACGAATCTCATAAATTGTCCAAGCTAGAAAGTGAATCATTTGCAGTCCACCTTCTGGCCAGTGTGAAGGTTCCTGGCCCATTTTACGAAGATTTTGGTACAAAGCCTAGCTATTCCAGTCGAATCTCTCTGGGCTCTCTCTCTCTCTCACTTGGCTCTATCGACCCTGCTGCAGGTACTGCTGGGTGAACATGTTCAACTCGCTGTCCAGCCAGCCTGCTTTGTTCCTGAAATCCAAAAAAGAATGGTAAGTAAAACAACACTGAGGAGGTTAAGACAGCATCAAAGAATCCAAGTCATGCACACCAAGACAGGTACAGCTGCTGTTACTGCCAAGACCTGAATAACATTCAACCATTCTTCCAGCACGGCTACACCTTAGAAAGGACACCAATCCATTGCAGGGCACACACACAAGCACACTGACAATTTAGAGACACCAGTTAACCCTAACCAGTACGATTTGATGAGAAACTGGAACACGTAAAGAAAACTCAAGTGAATATGGGGAGAACATACAAACTTCACACAAAAGACACTACAAACCAGAATCAAACCAAGGATGTAGGCACCTTAAAGCAGCATTTTAACCACTATTTCTCCATTTCACTCAAGAATTCAATACTACTTTAAACACTTTGCTTTAAAGATTGTGTAGTAAAAAGAATAGCCAAGCTGTTCATGGCTTAAAGATATTTAAACAATACTGAATCCGCTGCTTTCAAAAGCCTATGGATTTCAGTAAATTTGACGGTTATATGTGCTTTAGTTTTCTTTTTGTAATTAAATATCCAGGACAGCAAAAACAAATCCAAACATTAAGATACTATTACAAAGAGATCTGATGCTCAACAGATTATGTCTCAACAATATGATTGCAAATAACTGCAGATTTTTAAAGAGAACCGCAAAAACAAAGAGAGGAAAGTTATTAAATTCTAGTAATGATGGGCTGAATCCTGAAGGTTTTAAACTTTACTCTAATCAACCATCAGCAAATGATCAGGATGTATTGTTGATCACTGAGATAATTAGGTATTAACAAAGTAGAACATCAGCAGCTGTATCAACCTGCAACTCGCAACTGGCAACCCACTGAAGCTAAGCAGGTCTGAGTCTGGACAGTAACTAAATGGGACCAATAGGGCACGCTCACCCAGTGTCCTAATGCCCCAGTATAGTGATGGGGACACTATACTACAAAAAAAGGGGCTGTCCTTCAGATAAAACGTAAAACCGAGGTCCTGACTCTCTGTAGTCATTAAAAATCCCAGGGCACTTCTTTAAAATGTAGGGGTGTTACTCTGGTGTCCTGGCCAAATTTTCTCCTGCCGTTTACCAACCATGGCCTCCTAATAATCTCTGAACTGGCTTCATCACTCTGTTCTCCTCCACACTGATATCTGGTGTGTGGTGAGCGTACTGGCGCACTATGGCTGCTGTCACATCACCCAGGTGGGGGCGGGGGAGGGGGGTCCCCATTACTTGTAAAGTGCTTTGAGTGGAGTGTCTAGAAAAGCGCTATATTAGCATAAGGAATTACTGTTGTTATTATTATTAACAAAAAATCACAGTATGGGACCAGGGCACCCCTCTGTGAAAAAAGCATCATATAGCCTCACAGTAGAGGCCGTCAGTGGAAGCAGAGGGCCCAGTGAGAGCCCGTCTGGCCGAGCCCGCGTGCTGTCCTTACCGCAGCAGCTTGGCCTTGCTCTGCAGGGAGTCCAGCAGCTCGATCTTCGCGTTCATCTCTTTGATCTCGTCTTCAAGGTTCTGGCGAGTCACGTCTACCTGCTGGCACAGCTGGGCGAACGTGCCCGCCAGCTCCCTACGTGGCACAACAACATGCGATTAGTGTGGCACTGCTCACAGCTGGAGAACAGTCATTCAGGTAATCGATGTAGACTCTTTGGTAGCACCTCACTTGTTTTATCTTATGTACTTTCTATCACAAAAACATTATGCATAATCACTTAGATGCGAATCAATAGCCTCTTGTAGCCATTGTTACAGCTGGTACCCTGGATTCTTACAAGAAATGGCTGGATAAGACCTTGGACCAGTTAACACTGATTTTTTACAAAGCAGTCTCCTTCCACTAGAGGGCAGCATCAGCCCTTTACCATCTTGGAAAGACTACTGTTTCATGATGAATATGCAGCAATATTTTAGATTTGTTTTTGTAAAAAAATCCCATTTTGGATATTAAACAGGTCCTAGCACATCTTCTGTTGGTTGAAATCCAAGTGTCATGCTTAGTAACCTCCAGTTAGAACTCAATTAACAACTAGATTAAATACAAATAGTGCAATGGAAAGCCTATACATTCTTACTTCTTGGCTTTATTTACTGAGAGAACTGCTGAGCTGCTTCTTTAAAGAAAATTAAACACAGTAAGGGAATACAGATAACTCACTGCTGGACTTGGTGGCTGCAGTTGGAGCCGGTGTAGCTGACAATGAGCTGCAGCTTCTCGCTGGCATAGTCAACAAACTGACGCTTAAATGCTCGTTCCTTGGCCTTGTTTGTCCACGTAAGCCTCTCGTAGATGTACAGGAGCCCGTACAGCCCCACGGACAGAGCGATCAGCCGCCAGCCCACCGCTTTCCAAATCTGAGGCACATGGAAACGCACGACGAGGTCACCATCAGTCTCCAGACACGTGAAAGGCTGTTCGGTAACTGGGTTTGTATGGACTACTTCTCAACACAGTTCAGCCTGGAACTGAAAACTAAAAATCAAGAAGCTCTAATAGATAAAGGTGAAAGCAGACTGGGTTAGGGTTCTGAAGAAAGCCTCCTGTCTCTGTAAATTCCCTTCTCCCCCAGTTAACCTGGATAACAGATGGTATTTTCTTGGAGCAGTCCAGGTTCTAAATCCTAAGGACAGCTGCTCCAACTTACTACGAGTGTTGCTGGCACTCGTTTGACTACTTACCACTCCTCCTACAACAATAATGCCCATTGATGTTCTGGAGGTCAATGATGCCAGTCCGGTCACCATTGAGACCATGAGTTCCTCCTGAGTCAAGGAGCCCTGAGGAAAGGGGGGCATGCTGGTGCTGACAGGGGTGATGGCCAAGGGACGCGGCACCTGTGAAGCCAGGAGAGAAGATTTTTACACACACCTGAACAAATGAGCAACCCACCTTCATAGCTCTGTCAGAAAGGGCTCACCGACAGAACAAACACTCAAGACGTAAACCCATTAGACTACTTTATGTTCCTGTTACCAGGTTAAGATTCTCTTTCCTTCTAGACTAAAAAGGAAAACTTAGCTGATGAGATCTCAGATGTACAGATGTTAGATACACAATGAAGATGAATGCTGAAATGGTTGCTTTTTAACAGCAAAGCCATGATACTGGAGAACACATGGGAAGTACTGAGCAGAGAATCGCGAAGCAGCATGGCCTTACCTGGTCGTTGTATCCCAGGAGTGCTCTGCGGGTGTTCTTGGGCCCCAGAAAGCGGTTGACCAGCATGGTCCAACCCAAGGAGAAGTGGAAGCCAACGTCTTCCTGGAAGTCACTGCAGAGCTTGTCACAGTTGAGGTCGTAACTCAGGCTGAAGCACTGCCTTGGGACCAGTTTGTCTACCTGTTCCCGCACTGTGACTGGCAGCAAGGGCTTCAAGCCCTCTGTCAGAGCAGGGCAGAAAACAGCAGAGTTACTTCTGTATACCCAAGCTTAATTTTGTTAAAAAACTGACTCGCCCATAATGTAAAGATCTGACTCTCAACTACTAATCAAGTAATACTTACAAGAGAACAAGATGTAAATTATATAACTCTCTTATCTCCTGTAATGCTACTGTACTATCTTCTCTGTTGGTAAAGTTTGTCTTCCTTGTTGTGCTGTAAAACTAATCTCCCCCAGATGATGATAAAACCTGAACTGAATTGTACCGAACACGCTCCTACAACACACCCCCTTACAGAATTATTGGTCATTTGACACATTGTAAGATTCACAGGGCCACACAGGACAGGCCAGTCCATAGCCCAGTCCTCACTGACTTCATATCAGGACATTATGTGCCTGGCAGCTTACTGGTCCACTAATCCCAACACTATCCTGGTGAAGCCCTGGCAGATGTGCACTGCCTCTTGAGGCGCTTGGCTGGTAACATGGCCTAGATTCAAACAGTAGCATCTGGAGTTGTAAACCTTAACAAGTTTAACTACGTAGCAACCTTGGAAATCTAATTTGCATTAATCACTTCAATTGGTAAGAACCTCTGAATACCCCATGGAACCTAAATTTAACATTTTACATTTTGTGGTAGCATTTTTATTTTCCACTACAATAAATACACAAGTCATTTCTTCATAATACATGCAAGACAACATAAACCACCATGTATTGATGGTCTTCATTTAAAAAATGATAACCTACAATGCATTAGCAGAATCTAATATGCTTTAATGGAAGATATGGTTTCACTGTAATGAAGAGAGGAGAGTCAGCAAGGCCGACTGCGGGACTGACCAATCATCTCCGTCTGGGTGGTCTGTAGGGCAGTGGTGATGGCATTGGAGCACCTCTCTGACATATTCCTACCCAGGCCCTCCTCGATGTGTTTGTGGAGCTCCTGGGACAGGCCAAGAGGAGAGGGTAAAACACACTGCACTCACTTTCAACATTTTTGAAGAACTCACCCAAAAAAGCTCTAAAAGAAAAGCCCCATTACAAGTCGTGCTATTATTTTCAAGGCCAGTGGGAGATGTCACATTTTAATCTTAACCTTCTTTCCATTCTGACGAAGAATACTGGAGATTGGAAAACCCCACACTTCTGGCACAATATTGTTTTACATGAGTTGGGTGAAGATAACAGTTCATTTTCCAATGCGATCCTAAAATTACAGTATGAAAAGATCAATTTTTATAAAAATGTAAAAATAAATGCAAGCAAATGAAGAAATGCGTGAGAATATGACATCTTCATATGCAAAAACATCTCATCTGGAGCACTGCTACATTTTCTTTGTGACTTTAAATCTGTAGATGGAACAAAGATGAGATGATGTACAGTCACAAGTGCAACAGTTCTCTTATCAGCAAAGCAAGCAGAGGATACTGTAAAACAAAAGCATAGGTTACACTATTTAAAGATGTAAAGTTTCATTTTCTCACATGATCACACGCTCTTTTAATTCTCCAGCAAAACGTGATATAAAATGCACTGCTAACAACAACTGGAGTAGAATAACAGTGGGACAACACAGGGCACTTACATTCTTATAAACCTTAAGAACCACTTGGGAAGGGTGAAAATCCATGTGGAAATCGTCCACCAACACATACAGACGCCGGATCTCTTCAGCCATCGCGTTGGACACCTTTAAGCAAAACAGATATAAATATCATGAACTGAAATAGGAGCATGGAACAGATTATAGTAAAAGTGGCAAATCTCACGTAGAGGATATGTATATCTCTGAAGGCTACTGAGATATCCTACCTGCCTCTCCACCTCCTCCGTGATCTGCTTAATCTTACTCTTACAGTCCAGGGTCAGCAAATCCAGCTGCTTATCAATGAACTCCAACCTGTCCTGTCTCTCTTCTCTGGTCTCCATGCAGTGAACCCTAAAGCCACAAAGACAGCAAGACTCATTGGTCACGTCACTTGAAAAGCCTTCAAGTCACTTCAAAAAAACTACATAAAAGCTACCTTGTACCTTAATGACACTCCCTGTTGAAAAATAAATGGTTCTTCCAGTGAACATTCTTTTAGAAAATTAAAGTCGATGCCAATGCAGAATCAATCCATATTTTAATTTTTTAAACCTACTAGCCCCATATTCAAACCATTTAGGCACTTAAAACAGTGTTCAGAAAACAAAACGTTGAAAGTAGCGGTTTTTTACAGTATTTTAAATGCGTCTACTGTGAAGCTTTTTTTAAATTTCCATTATTTCTATTTTTTGTAATCTGCTGCTTAATAGGTGTATAAAATAAGCCAAAAGTGAGTTTTCAAACTTTGGATTTTTCACCTTTTTGATTTACAGGCGCAAACTGCAAAATTGGGAGGTTTTATTCCTTGTACAGGTTAGGATTACATTAACTCTAAAGGTTAGCTAAATGTATCATTCTGTCTGGTTTTAAATGCAAGAAATAAGAGAGTTTAGCATGTAGAAAGCGAGTTTTCGAACTTTTGATTTTTGACCTTTTTGATTGACAGATGCATGCCTTAGCAAAAACTGCCAAATTGGGCCAAAGTTCGTTTTCAAGGAAACAACAAAACAACACTTTTCCTGCATTTCAAATGCATCCTAAAGCACAGCAAATGCATCACACCATCTCTAGGTGCTGTTCAAACCCTAACCCTAGCTTGAGCACTTCCAGAACAGGTTTCAAAAACCTTGCTTTAAACATACATTACTTTTCTAAGGGATTTAGGGATAAACGTGGGCCTAATTAGTAAGTAAAAAATTCAAGTTTGTTTTACACACCAATTTAGTTTTAGTTGTTTTTTTTAATACTCTCAAATGCAAAGACGTTTTATATCTAACAAGCAAATCCTAAAAAAAATAGCGTGACACGTGCCCGTGATGCAGTACAATGGGGAACGTGCCCACCTTTGCTCTTGTGCAGCGATGTGAACTGAATCCATGATCTGCCGCAGCGTTTCCGATATCTGCTTGGCCCTCACTGTGTGTTGCTCAAACTTGGTCTTCACTGCAGACTGGGAGATGCACTCCTTCAAAAGAGCAAGCCGAAACCGTCCTCTGAGAAACTGCACGGCAGTGGCATTTCAGACGTTATCAACATCAGGAAACGACAGTGCTCGCTTACCTCAAACCGCCTCTCAAAGTTCTGAAACTCAAACATTCTTGCTTGAAACCCTTCAGCCAGCGCTCCTCCTATTAAACAATGTAAAACACAGTGGGATTAGTCATCACCAATATTGTATTATTACATGACGTATGATATCGGATTATTCCCCCCATTAATAAGGTGTCTGCCTCACCTGCTGATGGAAAAGCAAGCCTAACATAAAACAGAACTAACGATTCAAGAATGTCCAAGTAGTCCTTTCCAAATCATTACTTCAAGCACGCCAAGTTCTGATCCGATCCGACGTAGAGATTTCCACGCAAGTGATTTATGACGCCGCACAGCGAGGCACTGAACAATCTACCTCCTTCTGGCATCCCCTGGGCCTTCTGGATACGGGCCTGCAGGACCTCCTTGGCCGACACGAAGAAGATGCGGTCGCTGGCCTGAGCACGGTCCACCACGGCCAGCTCGTCCACCAGGAAGCTGGTGCAGCGGTCCATGTGCTGATGGCGTACCTACACGACAGCACGGAGAGACTGAACTCACCCCCACCACCACCTCCTGGCCTGGCCATCTCGCTCGTCCTACCCCAGGCCATGAAAACCACAGCTCAGTGCCTGCAGCCCAGTGACACAGGCTTCAGAAACAAGACCTTCTTCGACCTTGAACTTAAGTCTGAACGCCTCATCTCTGGTTTTGTACCCCTGATGATATTTTCACAAGAAAACCAATCAAATACAAAGTACGCATGAACGAAATATAGTTCTACAGTTCCTCCAATCTCGCAAAAGTTATCTGTCTCGCATATAACTTAGCACAGGACATGCAGAATTAGTTAGAAAACAATATGGCTTGTAGGTAGAAAGAAGTTTAAATGTGCCTTAACAGCAGGCACAGTGTGAGCACTGACGTCATGCACTGCCTTCTCCTTACCTCCTCCATGTACTCGGGCTCAGAGGCCGAGGCGTCCCAGCGGTTATTCAGTATGAAGATATTTGGTCGGGAAAGGCGCTCATTCACTTTGTGGAAAAACTGCTTTTCCTAAAGTTAGACCACAGAAGAAAGGCTTTAAGGTGGAATTGAAACATAGTGGTGTATGGTGGAGAGAGTAATAATACATCAGCAGAGTACCAGATAAGGTCAGTGGAACAATATTTTAAAAATCTGTCTAATGTTCATTTTTGTTATATAATACTATGAAGTAATCTCTTAGACTATATATTCTCAGTGTCAGCAGCTCTTTCTTTGGCTGACTAATAAACGATATGCCATTTATCAATCTGATTTATCTTTGACATCAGCAGACTATAATTAGCCTCATCATAATCACTGTACCTCAGGGACTTAATATTGGGGAAACAAAAACAGGACGTTTTTATCTTCCATCTTTTTCCAGCGTCACAATCTGTTTGTATTAGATCCCACATGTCCTTCTCACCGTCTGCATCAGTGTTGACTCGGAATTGGCCACCAACACAAACACATCGGCGTCCAGGCAGAACTTGTCAATCCAGCTGTCCAGCTCGGTGGTGACATCAATCCCAGGGCTGGAAACACGCATTTGGGATGAGAGAATAGAGCATCAGGCCCAGCACACAGCAAACACAGGCTAAGCAACTAGACTGAACCGAAACTGAAGGCAATCCAGGCCGGGAAAAAAAACGCAGACCAGCTGCACGAATGTTTTTCTATGTAACTTTCTGTGTGTACAAAACAAACAGATTTTTCAAATGATGCTCAGAAATGGCAACATTGCCGCTTCTAAGCAACGAGATCCTACCTGTCCACGAGCACCAGGTCATCACGCAGCAGGGCGCACTTGGCCTTGGGCCACATGACACACACCAGACTGCCCGCGTCCAGGTGTTCGTCCTGGTGAAGGGCATGAGCCAGCTGGTTCACCGTCTGACAGGCAAGCAGACAGAAGACGGGCACTCACTAACTGGGCACTCGCACAGAAAGGCACTCTGATCAGGGGTGTGCAAACCAGTCACTTCAGAATCTTCTTAATCTTAAATCAGATTCCTTAAACACAAACATTCATGACATCGCGCTTAAGACGTCCCTTTCTTCTTTTCGCAGTATGTGCTGTGAAAATAATTGTCACCGTAAAACTGTTTTGAGGCATATGTTTCCAAATATACTGCTGAAAAAGTTGAACTGACCCTTTTTGTTTTACCTAGAACAATCTTAGCTATGTACAGTATTTCCATGTCAGGGTATGGCAAACTCATTAGCTGGCCTGAGGTGGGGCTGGTGTCCCTAAAAGACACAGGGCAACTGGTTCTCTTACCCTTTATATTTAAAAGGTAAAACATACCCTCCAGAAATGTTATGAAGGGGGTCACATGCATTCATACATATTACCACAAACGGTCCATCTCAGACCATGTCAAGGTTTTAATCATTTTATTCAACTGCTACTATTTGCTCCCATGCCAATATCTCCTGTTCCCTTTAGCAGCTTCTTCAGTCTTAGGGTGTGACATCCATTTGAAATTCACGTATGCCAGAATCAATTTAATTAAGTTATACTTTGTGGACATTTTTGTGCATGATGTTTCTACCAGCCTGGGTGTTATTGCTCATTGTGAAATCAAACGTATATATTTACATTCTTATAAACTAAGTGTGGGGTTATAAGTGAACCAACATACAAAGTAAGTGAACCGAAATGCATATTTTTTTTAAATCAAATTAACTGATAAACTACAGAGTATAAGATTTATTACATTCACTCCCTATAGCACTTTTTAGAACACAATAGTGTAACTACATACAGATGATCTATTTTTATAGATATTGATCTAGTTTTAAATAAATATTTTTGCGTGGTTGAGCCACACTCCTGTGTCCGTGACTATGAGAGGAAAGACTACTTCCTCGGAAAGTAGGAATCACTGCTCAACAGGACGCCCTTGCTGTAGCTTACATTGACACTCTTCCTCTCCTCCGAGCCCTCAGTCAGCAGGTAGGAGTCGTTGCCATCGGTGCCCTCCACTCGCAGGAAGCAGTTGGTGGTGTGCCCGATGCCCGAGGGCAGGACCTTGTCCCAGAGCATCGCATTGATCACTGAGCTCTTCCCGTTGCTCGTCCTGTCGGGAGGGCAATACAGACGTGTCACGCAGGCGGGGGTAGGGGTGATTCAACCAGACAAGATTAAATTACCTGATCAGCACATCCATTCGGCCAGGACAGAAATTATTGCTTTGACAGCCCGTTTAAACATTGAATGTCTTCAGTAAAAGCCTTCAGTTTAAAATTTCCAAACATTTAAGTTCAAAGTAAAAATTTGTCCATTTCCAGAATGTACTCTCCTCGTTAACTATAAAATTAAAGGGGGAACCTGACCAAGTTACTGTATTTAATGCATTTTCTCATTTTATTAAAGAATTTTAGCTAGAGATCTCCTTATAAATATATAGAAATATAATCTCCTTATAATATTTCTAAAAACATTTATGAGAAAATACTCAGCTTTTTCAAAGACAAAACAAACACAGAAATAATGAAAGCTGGCTTTAATAGTTTAGAGAAAGGTCACAGGAGTTTTCACCTCTTTCGGAGTTTCGGTCTAAGTAGTTTGTACTCCTAAAATGATACCCTATGTTTTATCTACTGTATCAGAAGGTTTTGATGCAGCAGGATTGCAGTGTACAGGACGTGAAATACTGTGGGCAATAATCAAGCGTTTTTACATCCATATGAGAAACCGAGATCCCCCATATGAATAACCTAATCCGAATTTCAATAAAACACAGCAATATTGCCCTGTGAAATATACACTGTGCTTTACCTCCCAAAAAAGGCCACTTTCATGTGTCTCCTGGCCAAAACCTCGCCGATCCCTGCAACCTTGGACAGATAACCTTTCACCTCCATCACCTGCTCCTCTGTGGCAATAGGGTCCAAATCCTCATTCTTGTATGTCTCTGCAGAAAAATTCATTTCCAAGAAAATCACAATACAAAAAAAAAAGTGGACAACTGCAATCAGAGTTAAGAGTTGCATGCCAGGCTTCAAAAGGAGAGTTCAAACGGTTCAGTACCATTCCAATTTAAAATTCCCCCAATTCTTACTTTTTGAGTACTCAATGCTCAACTCAAACTCAAAACACTGGGAAAAAAAGTGGAAAAGAAATATGCATTTACTGAAAGCAATGAAACAAAAACATGAAAATTAAAGGAAAAGGCCACTGCATAGATGCAAATATTTAGGTTAACAAATTAACTGTGTGATTACCTTGTTTCAGAAAACAACTGTCTACGTGACCACCAATGAAACAGGCATTCAGGCCACCTGTGAAGCCTCACTGGAATATCGCGATGGGCAGTAGAAGATGCTTACCTTCAAGGAAGGCCGAACTCTCCTTGATGTAGGCACCCAGCTGCTCAAAGATACCGTTGATTTTCTTCTTGGCGGTGACGAAGTGCTTGAGAGGCGAGGCATTCACCTCCGCCATTAGTCTCTTGTCCTTCTTGCTGATCGCAGTGTTGGTACGAGAGAAAATCAGAGACATCGCGCTGTAAAACAAAGAAACCAAAACTGGTTCATTCCTGTGTCTGCACTCTTGGTCCTCTTCCATTGGATTTGACTTTTTAACATAACTAAAACTCTGCCATCTAGTTTTTTTAGTAGAATCTCAGGAAAGGTGATTAAGGGCTTGTCCAAAAACAGTTGTGTGGTCTCATACAGCAAGAGCACACAACAGAATACTTCACTCAGTAGCTGAAGATGAACTGCAGTCTCAGACTGCATTTCGGAAGAGTAATTATTTCATAAAAAGGAAGGAATTTTACTGTCAAACATTTCTTACAATACTAAAAGAATAATATTAACACAAAACAGAAATTAGTCAGCGGATACTTGCACTGGGAGAATTTTAAGGCCTCCGACCTTGAGCTAGAATTAATTATGCAAGCTGTTCGAAGTTTCTCTAAATTTCCAAAGAGAAATCTGTACCATCTGAATAACCTTGACACAAATTAGGAGATTCAGCCTAGATTTTATTCCTGGAAAATGTGTTCACAAATACAAGCAAGCATGGCAATGTAATTATAATGAAGTTAACTCTGATGAAGTTCATTTGTAGGTCACAAAATCCGGTCGTTGCTTAGGTAACACTATTAAAATTTAAACAACTGCTACTTCAATACAATACAGTAATACTGCCATAGTCTCTTTCTCATAAAGGCAACGACTCTTTATGAGGCGTAAGAAAGCGATAAGCAAAGATCACTGGTGACACACAAAAGTCTAATATTTCACAGAAGAGCCCAAAATTCAGCATAAATGAGATTTTCTCCGGTAAACCAGGCATTAAATCCTTTCACTAAAGACAAGAAATCACTTGGCTGAAGCTCTGTTATACTACAATATAACTAACCTGCAGGTAGAAAACATTCGTACTAAAAACATCCATTTTGTAGTATCATGCGTGGTGGTGATACTACAAAATACTTGGTGTGCTCAAAAGTTCTACAGAACTGAAAAATGAAATAACAATAGTCAGAAAAATATCTTAAGAATATTCTTGGTACAGCTTGTCATGGTTCTCAGGTGGCATTCACTGTTATTTCCTGTACTTTAAAAGGATTTGCTTTAGACATATTTTAGCAAGCATTTACAGTATTTTGTGTATTAACCACACAGTTTATCAAATTTATTATGTTTCTCATGATGAGAATATTCTTTGATTCTCAAAACCCTTTTTTTCCCCCAAAGAAGATGACTGTTGCTTTTAGAGAAAGTACCCCTTAATACTCTTTGAATAATTCTTGGGTGTATTTCTTCATAGTACTTTATAAACATGTCAAGAATATTTTTTTTCTGTATACTTAAATCCATATAAGGACACATAAATAAATGTAAAGTTCACATACAACTGATTTTACTTGACTTGAACTCAGAGTAAGTCTTCCTTTGGCAACAGTAGTGCAGCAGGGCCATGATCAAAATCCCCGATCTCATTAAACAAAAGGTCTCAACTAATCTTTTCTATTGCTGAATGAATAAACAAACGTTTCCCTGACTTTCATCTCTGTTATCGTGAGAGCCAGACTGTTCTTTATAGGGATGGACTGCAGGCCCACACTATCTGTGAGAGAGTCACCTTGAAAGGGTTCTTGGGAAATGTCCAGCTCACTTCCTGCTGCAGGGAGTCCAATCACACAGCCTTTGTGTATGACTGACATTCCCCAAGACTCAAATTCATGGTTCTCCTTTACAGTGGATCAGAGCCGCCACCACCAGATAAAGACGAAACTCAGTATGATGCATGCAACAAAGTAATCAATCAATTACGACAAAGTAACTGATCATGACATGTGTGAACCAACAACAATGCAGAGAATGTGGATCAAAGCATGTCAAAAAGTCACCTGCTATTATACTAAACATCTGATGGACAGTTATACAGTTTTGTATTCAGAACCTCAAGGCAGGCACAAAAAGCTGTGTTTGAATTATTAGAGTCTGGTGCAAAATCTTGCAAACTCTTGGAAACACAAATATCCCGACAAACTCTTATCACTATCAGGATCATTTACCAACGAGCCTCTCACCTTGTCAGGCCTTTTGCTTCTTCCAGAGAACCAGTGAATCAACCATAGCCTTTCCCCCAACCCTGGTCCTGTCTTTGCAGTCCTGTGTGCCTGCCCCACATGCATCTGCATGGCTGCTGAGCGCACCAATCATCACTTCTCTTAACCTAGCCTTGCAAGGCAGCATTACCAAGTTTAAATCCAGCAGCCCGACAGAGAGACGGAGAGCAAGGATAAGTGCTGCGCGTGACTTTCTTTCCTGCCAAGAGGGGAGGTGAAAGTTCTGTAAGAATGACAGGACCACTCAGACAGCATAACTTGCCCGGGCCTCTCTTTCTGACATGCACCAGGCTGGGTCAAATAATGCAATTGTCTGCCCTCTTGTGCAAGTGACTGCAGACACAACTCCTCAGAGACACCACACACATCTCTGGGGAAACAATATGAAGCTACAGAATGCACAGGTTCTGTTCAATATCGGTGCATAGGGCACAGCTTTGTGGACGAGACTCCAAACATGGCCGAGACTCCCAAACACGAAGGAATGCAGATACAAAACATCCGGCATGTCCTTCTCATTGTTAATTTTCTAGCCCTCACAAAGCTAATGGGTATCTAAAGATCAGCCAAAGAAAGACGAAAAGATTACACAAAAAGCCGAAGTCCTGACTCTCCGTGATCATTAAAACTCCCAGGGTGTTTCTTGAAAAGAGTAGGGGTGTTAGTAGTTAGTAGGGGTGTTGGTGTCCTGGCCTTTACCAATCATGGCCTCCTACTAAGAAGTGTAAGCATGATGATAATGATGATAAAGATTAAAATATAAAAAACTGCTTTTAGAGCATAACCCACTAATGATGCACAAAATGTTATTTTCTTGCAAGGACAAGGAAGGAAATAGATGCTTATTGTTATCTACTACTCACGTGGTTAAATGCACACACTCATATTCTGTTAGTACTGACCACAACTGCTCTCTCTGCTTGCTGTTTGAAGGGTTAAACTTCCCTCAGTTCACAGCTAATAATATTCAGCCCCGTGCAACCTTTCACCCACATTCCCTGATTGCAGTCACCGATGGGCAAGTCAGCCCAGAGACAACTGGAAACTCCCTAGTTACCATGGAAAAAAAGCGCTTATTATATTCCTGCATTCCACAGTGCACTTTTCAAGATGAATTTATTGAGTATTTTAAAGACCTAGCAAATTCTCTCAAAACAATAAACTACAGCTTCACCATTATACATTCACAAAATGTATTTAAAAAAGAGAACTGCACAAAAAATCATAATAAATAATAAACAGTGCACAACCACCCCCTAGAGAGACAGTACAGATAGAACTTAACATTTTCCAATTAAAATGCATTTAATAACAGCTAGAAAATGCAACCAAGAAGCTTAAAAAACGTACTGAAAACCACCCCCCACCCAATAAAAATTATCATATTCTATAGAAATAGTATATATCAAAATATGATTCGTTTATTTAAACCTTAACGTGAAACTTCACGGTATCATCTGCAATAAAAGAGATTCCTTGTCTGCTTCCTTAACACAGCAGTACTCTACAGTAGATGCTGTAACGTCGTCTAGTTCACATTACTCTTAGAGGTGATCAGAAATACTTGTCAAGCAATACATTTCCCTGATCTCGCTAAAAGAAAAAAAAGTAAAAATCTGAGGCCCTCGCTTGAATCCACCTTGCACTCGACTTAAGGATGCTCCTATTTGTTTAAAATTTAGAAAAACCAATGTAAGGCAGCAGGATATCATCGTGAACAAAAATATAACCATTTCAACATTTCATTTAACTTGGGCAATTACTGAACCTGTTACCCAGGAGAGCGGTGTTAAACAGAAGCAGTTACTGTACATATGCACCGGTGCCCGATAGGTTCTGCTGTTTCAACCAATACAAAAGCTGTTAATTGTTCCACTGTAACATCGTGAAAGGCCGAGCAAGTGGCTAAAAACTATGGAAAGCACTAGGCCTTTAATTATCCTGCAGGGTGGAGGTTTTAACGGATAGTAACTATATATTACTGTATGCATGGAACTAATCAAACATCTATTTAAACAGCTACGTGACCCAACTATGCAATACCGTGGTTCGTTTATACATATTAGAAATAACTTGTATTTCTTACTGTACCTTTAAGTGTAAGGCGTGGATCACAGGTCTTGCATTTTGAGCTTTGCGTTATGCTCTGCCGAACTAAATCTAATCCGGATAACCTTTCTGGTAGAAGATCGTTATATTGTTACGGCTGGGTCACTTTCCCACAACTGGCGTAGATACTTGGTTCGATCGAGGGACCAGCTCCTCTGCGGGCGAGGCGAAGCACTTTTTCCCGACTCTTTCGTTGGTTCCACTTTTTTTACTTTAAGTCCGAAAGAGATCCCTTGGGCCCTTCCAATTATAGCTGAAATTTCACATGTATCATGCCTCCTTCACCTTCAGTCCCTCACTCTCACTCCCTGTCAGCCATTAACGCCCGATACGTCATCAACTGCGACACCAAAAGGAGGCTAGTACGTTCAATAAAAGCGACAAAGAGCGCTGGTGAGGGAGGGTTTGGACGTCTCTTTTTCTGATGAATTACTCTTGTTTTAATTGAGAACTTATTCGGCAATAAACAGTCCTCTATACTGAGCTGATGTGTAACCTCGTATGTATTGTAATAACTGTGCATTTATTTGCTCAAATTGTAAAAAAAAACACCATGTCTGCAAATTCATCGCGATCTGTGCAATTTTGTGCTGATTGCAGCCTCATATTTAGCTATTATCTGTATCATATTTAATTCTTTATGGCCTGTTGAGAGTTCAAGGTCCTCCCAGTAGAAGAACTCTATGAACTCAGTCTCGGCTTGAGTGAGGAGCTAGGAAAAAAAATGTAATGCAGAATCGAGGTGGACACTTGTTAAGAATTTGTCTTGACAGAGTCAGATGTGAATGATGACCTACAATAGTGGCAATTCTTCTTGTTTTATGTTTAAACAAACTCAACTAAAAAATCAGGCCATTAAGGTTTAAGATGTATAATTTATTGTGTTTTTAAGCTCATACTAACAGCTTACATACAAACTACCGTTCAGCACTCACCTAGGTGCTGTGACAGCCATTATGTGCCAACAGCCATACCACACAACAGATCAGCTGGAGAAGTGAGTTATTACTTCACCAATTGAATTAAGGGGGGCTTTAAGGAGATCAGGTTATGGAAAGCCCAGAATGAAGATCACCAAAACACCAGAGCTAACACACCCCTGTGTTTAACCTGGTGCCTACCACCATATGACTTAAGAATTCTGCTGCAGGTGCCATTTGCAAAACATTTTTGTGGCTTCATCAAGGGCATCATTACCATTGTGCAGAAAATGATTTACACTAGTGTGAAATTGGCACATTGAAATTTTACTGTTTCTTAAACAAAGCCAGCAGTGCACCAGTGTGCCATGGGGTACGCTGAGAAAAGTGCCGTATGACAGGTTCTTTGGGATTTCATTAGATGATCGAGTAGCCAGGACTTCACATTAATGTCTCCTACAGCAGAGCCGTCCATAGGCTATAGGGACCCCCAACAGCACTATGTACAGTCCTGGCAGTACTGCACACACCTCTCTGTCAGGGGCATTGGTGTGGAAATTCAGTTCCAGAGGGACAACTGTCACCTACTATTTTACCAGCACAACAGCCATCTAGTTTTCCTTGGAGGTCTACCATCCTCGCCCTGACCAGAGACAAATACCAGTAAATTGTGAGGGTTTTCATGTAGTTTATCTTTCGTTTTTATACTGTTCAACAAGGCTTCTTGAACTTTGAATTATTGACAGATTGAATGCATAAAAAGAACACTTGCAAACTTCATAGAGTCCTTTTTTAATTTTCCTTTTTCCTGCCAATTTGCTCTGAGCTGTAGGGCAAAATGAGAGACTTACAAGCCACATGATTTTACAGTTACAGTTTAAAATGAATCAGCAAAATTCCAAATTTTAACAATAGGTCTGATAAATTCAATGTATCATATTTGTGATGTGACATACAACACAACAATATGCATTACAGGTATTGTATAAATGGCCAGCAATTTTTGATTTACTGTTTTATTGAATACTGATTATTGATATTATATTAATATTGTTTATTAACATGTGGCTTCCAGAAAGTCCATTAACTTCCAGAAAGTCATGAAGTCAAATGCTGCATAGTTCTCATATTACTTGTGTAATCCAATTTCCAGTATTGTTAAGACATAAAATGAACACACTTCCTTTTCCCCAAAAATAAATTAAGAGCACTTTCAAAACAATCATTTGTTCAATTCAGCGCATGTTACCCAACAATGGCAAGGATTTGCAAATTAACCTTTGTTCAGTAGTTAAAAGAAATTTATATTTGCATTTTTTTTTTCAAAAAAGGAAGGCCAGTACCTTGTTTTTAAAATTAAAAAATTAAGAAGTTTGTCTTACAGTAAATGTCCTCTTTTCACTCCAGAAGAATGTGATGTTGTATCTTATAATACACATAAGGCTAACATTTTACTTTCTTAACACTTTCTCCAAGTCCAGATGGTTAAAATATGTTAAATTCATGATAATAATGTGTGGTTGGTCTAAAAATAATACACGTTTAACACAATACAGAAGGGCATCATTTCCAGAAACCAATTAGTTATTTTAACAGTTCTGAATATTTCATGTTGGCAGTCATCAAATTAATCAGTTTTTTTATATATAGAATTCAGATTTCATTCACCAATAGAGTTGTGACAGTAAACAAAAGTAAAATCCATGTAAACATGTACACTGTTTTTAAAGTTGAATTTTTTGGTAAATCTGTTTTAAGGCTTTATATGGTGTTAGCATATATAAATGATATTGAAACTTTTTGGCAGACAGCTCTTATTTAAGGACTGCAGACTATTTTTCCACAGCCTCCACCTGAAAAGATCGAGATATATTCATTGGTTTACTAGTATTTTATGTACTGTCTCTTAATGGAAGCACATTGCCTCACTCAGTTGTCTGACCCATTTTGTGGAATAGAGGTCAAACAAGTGGCCTGTCTCTCCCCATCTCCTCGGGAGAACAGTTTCTAGTAATCTGGTTTCTTTACATCAGAATATCGCTATTCCTCAATCTAACTCTGTACCAGTATCATTAAAACACATAACATCAGACAATTAAAAAAATACATAAACTTGATTTCTGTTCATTTAAGGGTCAACAAATGACACCGCAATGTATCTTGTGCCTTTGGTGGTGGGCAGGCCTTCGTGGTAGTGTGTGAGGCGTCCTGGGTGCATCAGGGCCCACCCCTTTCGTGGGGCCTGGATAGAGCAGTTGTATCGGAGAAACCGGCAGCCACCACCCTTCGCAAAAAGAACAAAATGGTAAAAGTAAGCTACTGGCCCACAAGGTTAAAGGAACAGCCATCACAGCGTTCTAACCCACAAACACCAATTAGAATATGAGCAGCCTTGAATTATCCGTCATGAGAATGAAGTAAAATAGCACTTGAACGCATAATTTTCTATGGGTGTGACTACAGAGAGAGTGGATATAAACTCAGTGGAAACTGTCTGCTGGTGCCAATGTGACGGTCATAAAAAGCTATCCGAGTTTCATTTTGAACGTCATTAAAAAGTACTGTCGGCTCAATTATCCCTATTTTCACATATCATGTAGTTTCATTGTTTCTCTTTCATTTTAAAGCATGCTTAAAATTGCAAACCACTTTTGCTTTAAAAGTTGTTGCAAGGCTAGGGCAAGATGAAAAAACATCTCCTAACCAATTACTTTACAGCTGAATTCAGACTCTACTCTCTAAAGATAAAAAACATGTGGAGTAACCCACTGAAGCCTTATTTTGTCTTCTTTGCAGTTGATGCAGGGTATTACTAAACAACGCATAAGAACATCACATCTTAGAATATAAGGCTTGTTTTATTCCTCATATACCCAACATGCAAAGCAGGACAAGATGAAATGCTGAGAGAGAAAAAATCTGTATAGTGCAAATATTAGATGCATTGCTAATATCATTATTGGAACAAGTAATAGGTTTATTCCATGCTGAAAAGAGGAGAAAGAAAACATAACCTTTCAGCCGTGGAGCCTTCTGCAGGTGTCACCTGAAGTCTTGAAACCTTCTTCAGGTGTCTTGACACCTGCAGAAGGCTCCACGGCCGAAACGTCGTGTTTTCTTTCTTCTCTTTTCAGCATGGAATAAACCTATTACTTGTTCCTTTGCAGCCTACGCATGCTGACGCAGCGACCCACCCGAACTAATATCATTAATGTTTCTTAGAGTTGATCTACTGAAGCACAGGAGTTCCAAAGCATTAACTAAGGTGGTGAATGTGATATACAAACAGCACAGACAATAACGTATTAATAAAACATGCTGCAGCCAATGTAGTTAAACCTATCCAGGTCACCTTCAGTAAATAACTTTTCTCTTTTTTCCAGTTGCGTACACCAATCCTATTCTTGGGGTTATTTTCTTAATTATATCTAAAAATTCATAGCTCCTATGTCCATATCGCACAGAGCAAACCGCGTCAATTCTTCGCACAGGACTTCTGCGAGACGGCCTTGTTCGCTGTGGGAATATGGGCTTGCAAAGGATAAATGGACTCATGGCAACCACAGAGCTTCAAACTCACCTCGTAATCAATCCCAACTTGGTTCAGAGCAATATTAATAGTAAAAGTGGACGCATCGTGATGAGGCTTTAAAAATGGCTGTTCATCTGGTTTATACCTAACTACAAACGCCAGTTCAAATTGAGCCTGCAAAGAGAGACAACAGCAGCATAATGCAAAAGGAGACATGCAGCATTCAAGCTGAAAGCAAGGCAGCCATGACGGCTTTGGCCCTTACCTAAAACACACCAGCAAAGGTTCCAAGACTGGCATTCCCAGAAAAGAAAAAGACAGACAGAACTGACAGGACACCTCCTCCTGCATCTTTGGACACTAGATTAGGACCCTGGCTTTCCACGTGCTCTGCGTTGGTACAGCTGTGTACTCAATTACCTGATAGTCAGTGTCTTTGCTGTTCAGAGCTATGTTAATTGTAAAAGTGGAAGCATCATGGTGGGGCTCGAGCAGTGGCTGCTCGTCAGGTTTGTACCTCACCACAAAGTTGAGATAAGAGGTACACTGTCCAAAAGAAGAAATGGAGGTCAGCAACAAGCACAATATTGCTACATCCACAGGTGTTCAGGACCAGAAAAACACCCTGGTCATGACTGTCTGATAATGCCATGCATGTTTTTCTTCAATCAAACCAGTTTTTCTTATTTCTTATAACTTTGTAAAATCTAAAACGCAAGACAAAGCAGGTGATTCAGTCTTGCATTTTAAAGTAACGAAATCGTGTATTTAAGGTTTCATGGACTGACTCTGTTCAGTCTCACAAATATCTGAGGGTTTTATATCGTGAACACACGATTTCGATGATCAAATACTTTGGACCTGTTGTATTTAAAACAATTAAGGCAATATTTGGCTCAAATAAATAATTAAGACTTTGGGCATAGTGGGAATCAGAATGAAACCTGTCCAGGAGGAGGACTGAGAATTGCTAGTTTGATATATTACTGCTCTAGTGTACTTTGGCAGCATCTTGTTGCAAAATGATTTGTTTAGTACAGCTTGATGTTCTGTAAAACAAAAATGATTTTTGGATTTACAACTCAGAATTATCTAACACTTCTTGGGATGCTGGGTTTTCCTTCTAAGACTGAAGCAGAATGATTAGAAATTCAGAAAAACACATACTTTTTCCGTAGTATAGTGAAACTGAAAAGTATAAGCATTTTTTTTTTTAATCAAGACCTCGGTTTCTCCTCAACCGAGATTCAGAATATACAAGTGATTTTTTAAAAACTTTCTGGGACTCCAAGCACTTACTGCAGAGATGCATTACAATAATTGGTTGAGTGGATCTTCTTTCTCTGCAAAGGAAACTGAGTAAATACACACAAGAATGTTAAAGCTGAACTACGAACTATTATTTCTGTATGAAGTATGAATTTAATAAAAAAATATATGAATACAAAGAATATTATCACACACCATTACTATATTTTCAGTGTTCAGGGTGGCTTACCTTGGTGTAATAGCCTGGGTACATTTTCTCTGTAACTGGAGCAATGTACTCTAGCAAGAACTTGTGCCACTCCCTCTCGTAGCCAACCTGATTCATGTGAATGTCTATTGTGGGCACATTTTCATAACCCCCTTGGATCCTAGTATCCTGGAAAGGGACAGATAAAAAAATACAATAGTGATTAGGCTGCGTGCTACCTTCTGAACAAAATTTACTGATCTACTGAACCACAGATTCATACTTATCATTTAAGAGTCCTTTCAAAAGCTTCTGAAGGTTTTTCTACAGTCATTTTTAGATTTTCAGTTTACCTCTAATTGTTTAGATATAACAATTAAACAATATCCTATTTTATATTCAATTTTTTAATGGTTAAACAAACAAATGTATAAAATCTGCACCATCATTGAAAATATATTGAAAATCTTTGAGAATACAGCATCTGTGAAAAAACACACTCAGGATGTGCTTCTACTGAGACATAGGATTTGATACTGTCCATGTATTAGGCTTACATTACCAGTCAACTTACCTCATTGGAGCCATGTGACCACTGTCCAAAATGTTCCATTTCTTCAACAAGATGATTACAGCCAACATCACTTATGATTGGAAACCAGTAAACATCTGGACATGGCTGTTAAACAGAGAAATGTTTCAGTTTGGGATTCAATGCCTGCGATAGTGAACCCTACTGTCTGCTGTACATGTTAGTTATGATGAGATCAGTACTTTTTTTATTGTAATTTTATTAATTTAACATGAGTACTCCTTTTTGTTCCATGTGCTAATGATCCCCAGATTAAAAAATAAACACCTGTCATGTTGTGATTTTGAAAACAGGGGTTCTTCCAACCATAGCAAGCAATTAAGGAAAACAACAGTCCGATTGAAATGAAAAATGAACTATATTTCATTAATGGAGGCCAAATACAGCTTATGCAGGATAATCTAAACCCAGGAGTCTAGATAAACAGGGTGGAACAGATACTCACTGTTTCTATTAATTTGTCTTTCATCATCCTGCTGTAATTCACATGAATGTATCTTTCTTCCCAATCCTGTCAAACAATCAGAGAAGGTCAGACTAAGGAAACCGATTTACAGACAGGGACATTAAGTTTCACTTTTAAGATTTTATCAGACACAGATCTTCAGTGTTATTCCTTCCTATAATGTGAAAGCAAAGAGCAGTTAAGAAACATATACACTTGGGCATTGGCCTACCAGAAAACCTGTGTAATCTTTGTAAAAGTGTATAATATAGAGTAGAAGTTAGAAACATCAGAGCAAATTGGTGTAAGCACTGGTGATAAAGTGTCTATCTGTAGGAATGTGTTGAGAGGTCAAACTATGACTCAACAATCCTTCACCCAAATTTCAGCATTTTATGAATACAGTAAAAACTGCACCTGCTTTCACTTTTCACTTTCACTTTCACTTATGTTTCTGCTTTTTTAAGTATCTAAGAGCACTACATCAGCAACAACAGTGCTGAAAGTTCCTTTGCTCTTACCACAGGATTTTCAAAGATCTGCCAAAGGTCATTGTGTAGGTGAGAGGTCTGGTAGTTTTCAGTGGAAAGGATGTGTCCAAACTCCTGTCTGTTGGTAACATACATGAAGCCTCCCTGAGGGAAAATGTTTGAGCGAACGATGAGAGGCAAATATCAAACATGTGTAAGGACATGCTTTATTCCATTTTCTTCTCAGGTCTGTATATCTCTGCACATCATATTCATGAAGTTATCATTAAACACATGTACCAGCTCCCAGCCATTTTCTTAAAGCAAAAATCATTTTGTTTAAAACAGTGACAAAGTGAACAGGAAATTAGATCTTTTAAATGAGAAAGCTGACAGGCTTGACAACAGGGCCTTTTAAGGCCTAATTAAGACCAGGTAGTCTGACTGCTAGTTATATTTCCCACTGATCCCAAGATGGGTGTCTTTCTCATAGCAATTCTTTCTGTACATCTGCAGCAACCTTAAGACAAACCTCTTGGAAGTACAGACCTGGTTTCGCACATTGTGGCAGAAGGCCATATCAGGGTCCAGATGGGGAGAACTGAAGAGGTCCTTGGCCAGGAGCTCTGACTTCAGAACACTGCCTTTGATGAGGTAGATGCTGGAGATGTAGGGCACATTCCAGACCCCTCTGCAGCAGGAAACACATGACCAGAGAAATGCAGTACAGCAGTCAGTACTGTTGTATTATTCATCAAATGATATTTAAGACAAAGAATAGGAATCCTGCCATCTTTATGTCATTCTAATTGAGAAATGTATACTACTACAACCTCCCGACCACATGAAAAAATTAAATCAAAGCACCCCCTACAGAACTGACAATATTATCTGACATTGAAACTGGCCTTTTGTTCAATTTGGCAGACATTTGCACTCTGCATAATAAATATACTGTATTTTTATTTTTTTTACCAGATAATAGGAAGATAATTTAAATGGTTAAACTTACACCCTCCTTCCTTGAACAATGTCCACATAGTCCTCAGACCTGGCATAATACCCTTCTGCGCTAAGAGCACCCCAGAAATTAGACCACAGCTTCCCATGTCTGGTCATCAACGGGGTTATTATGGGCCTTCAGGGGGAAAAGGGTGCAAATACACTGCGTTACAAACAACAAAGATTGCTCAGTTGCATTTATTTTGATATAATTTGTGTATCGCCTCTATCCACACTCATCCATTTAACTGTCTAAACCCATCATTTCTTACCCACAGGCAGACTTGTAAAGGGCAGTGGGTGCAACATGTAGCCAATTACTCTTTATGGATGCCAGATGTTCTCTTAACAAATTAATGCTTTTATATGACATCCAACTAAAATTACCAAAAGAGGGATTATGTTCTATATATACACATACAGTATGAACTGAATGGAGTCTCAGATTAAGGTTACATGTGAAATAGAGAAAATAACATTTACTTGTTCTGTTCAATTAGAATTTTGAGGGTGTTTGCATTTTTTACAACAACTTCCACGTCCACACTGAAGTAATACTCGCAGTCCGTGTCCTGCCGGCACACATCTCTGGAAGAAATCACGAAGACCCATTAAGGACTGAGCACCTCAGTACACAGAAAGCACATACAGGTGTCACAGTAGGTGTCTGGTTAATAGAAGAAAAAAGTCTAGCTAAGCATCTAAGCTTTATAGCTAAAGCTAAATTACACCAAAATACACACCATATGGATGACCATGACATGAACTTAAGATGACAAATAGATGTTTGTTGCTCTTAATAGACCTGTCTGTTTTTAAAGTTTTTTACACATTTTTAGAACAACTAGAAAACAGACAAAATAAGATCAAAATTTTACAGATATTTTTAGGATTCAAGTCATAATTGGCATTGAACTCACAATATATCACTTAGCTTTTAGGAACTATTTAATGTTTTCATGACTGATCGTCTGACACTAAACGTACATTCCCAAATTCCGCGGTGCTGCGCTGTCCAGCTCTTCCTCTGGACCAATGACTTTCACAGCGCGATACTCTGTCCCATGATTCTCCAGGAATGACTTGACTTGCTTTTCATGATGAGGCTCCTAAACCACAAACCAGAAAACAATAAAAGGTGCTGCCTGAGAGCAGATAACTGGGTATTTTCACTCCTAATGAGAAAAGCATGATCACTTCTCGCATGGGTTAATTTCTGTGATCCTAGTCCAAACAGTAACATCTTAGATCATGCAACAGATGAAAATCAATCCCATAAATGTATTGCCACTAAAGATGACTGTAAGAAAGGCCTTACCAAGGGCACTGCTGCTCACACTGTAAGACGCCAGGCTAAGAAAAGCTGTGTTTGCACTAATTAGACACTAGAGGGCTCTGGACTTTCCTCTCCTGGCACCTCTTCAGCTCTGACAGCAGTTACAATCACACTCATTTGGACCCTGGGTTCTCGATTCTTTACTGGGGGTTAGGAATCCAGCAGGTTTTCTATATTTATTTATGTTATGGAAGAAGTGTTAAACTAATTCAATTAAGATTTAGTTGTTGTTTTTTTCTTTACAACAAAACACTGGACTCAGTGTTGATAACTCCTGCCTTATATTGATGAAGACTGATAACATTGTTACATTGTATAGAAAAATATGGAAAAACCTTAATATCTAAGAAAATAAAGTCTGAAGAGCATTGGTTTCTTTTTACAAAAAAGGTTGGGGGGACTAATCTGAGGAGGACAATTCTTGAGCAGTAATTTGTGAATCCTTTACCATTTACCAGATACCCTTCCATACATAGAAAAATGTGCCTTTGTGATTTGTCTTAATAAAATGGCAAATATGTTAAGAAAGTTATTAGTTTAACACTTATTAATATATTTAAAAATCAGTTATTATTATTATTTTATGTATTATATATACAGTACTACTATAGTTACACATCTTAAGGCTGACACAGATTTTGAATTTTACCACATGACTGCAAATATATATAATTCTCTGGTCATGAAGATATCTGACATTGTTACTCCAGTAGAAAACTGCATGTACACTCACATGATTGTATATGAAGAGCTTAAGCCTGTCTTTGGGGTATTGGAGATTCAACAGACGCTCAAAGAACACCGTCACAAAGGGAGTTGGTTGCTGAATGAAGATCCCTACTAAGACCATGGGGTATTCGCTCTCCTGTATGAAAGAGAAATAAATAACTGCAATGGAAATTTCAGATGCTTTAATCAACAATGAGGCAGTTTCTAAGCTGTGAATATGAAACAGACTGCAGCATGCAGTACTGGGTTCCCACATTTACAGAAAAGATCACCAAAACCCCAAAGCTATTCAGTCCTTTATTATAAAAAAATCAACTTTTAAGAATTAAAATTGTTACTAAAAAATATATGAAAACTAATTCAATTTTTACATCCATTCATACTTTTTTAAATCAAAAGAATTTTCTTTTAAGCCAAATAGTTACATATAATATTTCTGTAAAACTATTCTGTTGATAAGGTATAAAAGAACCACTAAAAATACTTAGGCATTAGCCAGTACACAGTACAAGGAATGTTTTGGAAACACAATAAAAATATTTATTTGACCTAGTAATGCCTACCTTGAGGCCAGAGAGAAGTTTCTGGTCCTCATCACACACAGTACAGCCAGTTTCAAAGGTCCACACTCGTGGGATGTAATTACCAAGGTAGTTTAGCTGGAGCTAAGTAACACAGGTAACAGTTCAGAAAAGTAAGACCTTTATTATCAATAAATGACAGAGTGAGTGGATTGAATTTCTAGTTTACTGAGCAGCAGCATAAAATCACAGATACTAAACTGTTTTTTTTCACTATTCAGCAGAAACAAGGTACTGTATTTAGAAGTGTCTGCCAAAGCAAAGAAAGTTGTGCCATTGCCACCTTCATTTTCATCACAGTGTCAGCAACAATTGAAAATTAGGTGTTACTGTTTTATGACTGACAATTTAAAACAAAGAAGTAGTCAACTTTGTGAAGGAAACAAAATCGTTTTTATAGTTTATATCTACAGCAGAACTGTGATTGAGGTTGGGATTAATACTTCTGAGCTGTACCTTTGTAGGACCGTTGCCATGGACAACAACAGGCAGTGTATCATACGCGACGTTCCTGGCCCGAACACGACCGTCCTCAAACTTCAATACTACTTCATCTGGACGTAAAACAGGTACATGGAAGAAAGCAAAAGGATAGTGGAACTGTCACTGTGTTCAATGCCTTTGATTTTGTCTTCTTAAATGTCACAAGGTAGTGGAAAAGGTAAATGTTACACATTATATGCTATAATATTAAAAAGACAAAGTAAACATGTGTCGGCACAACCAAGGAATCATCAAAAAGACCAAAGCACAATTTAAGGAGGGGCAGCCTCAGCAGTCAAGGAAACGAAGAAGGGAGTGGTTCATAATTAGGGGCTGATACCTATTGTGCTGTGATTGAGAAAAGCTGCCATGTGATTAAATACCCAAGAACACCTAAGGCCATTCCACACGTTCTGCTTTTCTTTCTAGAGCTTTGTTTTGTTATTTCAGGTTAAAAGTTCTCTGGAATTTTAGAACAAAGACAACATCCAGTAAAAGTTGAGGAAATACAGCGATAGTAAATGTACAAAACCTTAAGTGCACAAACAAGTGATTTAATGACAGTACCTTCTTTTCAAACTCACCACTACCAATTCATGTATTTATAGACATAGGTTTGCATGACACTAACTGATATCCCTGTTTAATACCTGTTTCTGCTTTCATAAGCATGCATATTTGGATACAAGTTTATTTTCCCTAGATCAATTAAAAATGCTTGAACAAAAAATAAAATCTGCTTTGCTTTTGTTCCAACAGCTACAAGCATGTCTACAAGGGATTATTTTCAAGCAGTATTTGTAATTCACTGTATTTACTCTAATGTCTTTGAACCTAAAACTATACTACGAAAAATACCTTGTTCAAGTCAATCGCCACTTAAGCAATAGGTCACAGAAACTTCTTTGGAACTATGTAATTTATATACTGCGAGACAATAATAGACATATTGTTAGACAATTTGCACCAGCAAATCTGACCATGTGCCACAAAAAATAGAATTATTATTTTTTTTAATTTCAGGCAGAAAACACTAGGCCTATCATTTTGGGTCCAGGAATCCAGTTTTCATTACTTCTAAGATGTATGAAATTAGTCGCTAACAGAAGGCAATTAGAGTCTTGAGTTGTAAGATCTCAGTGGGCTCCAAGTTAATTAATGTCAGTCCCAGGCAGCTGTTTCTTCCTCCCTCCTCAATAACCGATAATAAGTATCTGTTCGCTAGTAAAAAGGAAGTTGAAAGGCAACGCCTGTGCTGGAGCAGGTTCCTACTGAGCACCAAGGCTACGTGTGTCTACACACATCTCTCAGCAAACTCATAAATTCCAAGCACAAGCACAGCCCCAGCCAGCAGCACTGCTGGGCAGCTTTCCAGGAAAGTAGTGACTGCTGGCTCAGTCTAGTCAGGCTCACAGCAAAAAAATGAAGGTGTTCAGATCTTTGTCATAACAAATGCGGCTTTTCCTTTTCTGTGAGGGTCTTAAAACCAGCGTTCGAAAAGGGACAAAAAAAATAACTCAATGAAGATGCCTTGTCTTAAGACAGTTTCCGGACATTCCCCAGGAACTCTGGAGTGCCCAAACCCAAAGTAAACAAAGCAAATGAAAGTAGCAGAACCTTGAGTTTCCCATGAGGAAACTGCTCTTTTCTGATACTGTATAAGCATGTCTAGCACACAAAACTTAGATAACTTCTATTAAACTGCTTATGTGTTCAGCCCTCTTACTATTTTTTATGTCAGACTTTGTACCCAACCACACAATAGGGATATATTCTTAGGATCAACTACATCTTTTTCCTAAAGAGCTGGATCAATAAATGGGAAATCTAGTAAATGTTCCACTTTTTCAAATGCTTTTCAACGTCACAAGGAAGTGTAAATTCTACCAAATCTTTTTTTATCATGTTTTTTTCACATTGCAGATTAGGCTTGTAAATGTCATTTATAAATGTTTTGTAAATTAAATATGTTCTATACATGAATTGAGTAACAGAAACAAAAATGAGAATCTACTGCAAATCTACTGAAGATTAATTAAATGTTAGTAACACCCTTATCTTGACAACAACATGAATCTTAACAGGGTGATTTGAAGACATTAGCTTGTTATTCACAATTCCTAATTGTTAATAGTATAGTTCATAACTTTTTAATAGATAGTTTATACTCATGTTCGATACCTAAACTGAAGTGTTGCCATTTTAAATTATATCTGTGCAATGCTTTTACCAAAGACAAAACAACGTGTTAAAGACCTTTACAACAGCCTTACCTAAAGCTCCATGGAGGTTCTGGAATATTCTGCACTTGCTGTCTAAAGTAATGTTTATATTTTTCTGGGGAAAAAAGTAAAACAATAATTTACTACACAATCAATTTTTACAAAAAGAATAACAAACTCAAAATTAAAGTGAAGACAGAAAAAATGCTGAGAGAAAAGCTAGTAAATATGATAATACATATGATATATTTTCATAAACTACATTCAGACATGTTTAGAAGACACAGCATTGAAAATCATTCGGTAAAACTTAATTTAACACTAAAAATTAATGTAACTGCAGGCTCTTCATACCCTTTTCTCTGGGTTGATGTAAATCTGGGTGTAAAAAAGCTGGTCACTGTCATCGTCTTTTCCACTCCAGTCTTCAACCATCTTTTTAATGTTGGGCACATAGCCAATGAAGCCTGAAAAGACAGACATTTACTGATGGGCTCTGAGCTTTGCTGTAAAAGTGCCACAATTATTAACACACTGCAAAGTTCAACTAGAAATGAAAGTACATGATATAAGAGGAACGTCAAACTCTGATTTGAGCTTATGAGCAAATTAATTCAAATTCAGAACATTCCTCAGCTTCCTTTCCAGAATCCGGTCAATGGCTTTCGCTCAAACGCATGGGAAATCTTTAAAGAGCAAAACCGGACACTTGCCTCCTGAACCAAGGAATCTCTTGCCCTCTCTGAAGTAGGGGTACTTGTCCTCGAGGTGGCGGTCAGGCCAGATGAGGGTCTCCGCAGAAAACACCACCTTGTGCCGAGTCTGGTGGAACTTCTTCAGCAGCTCTTTTGGACCCGATGCAAAGGCCACATCATAGCTGCCCACATGTGGAGAAACATCATTCCACTGAGTCAAGACTGTGACCCTCCCATTGATCTCATGCATTTACCACTAAGAAATCAAACTGTTTACATCGTGTCAACTTAAAACTTTCTTATGGGTATATTGATGATGCTGAAAGACTGTATGACATGTTAGCATCTTGTAATCTGAAAAAGATGTCCTTTGCATTAGTGGCTTTAAATAAACTGGTTGATACTGATGATTACACTCCTTATATTTTATGCTTATCCCTAACCAAGCAACACTGCAATCAGGTTTGATACTTTGCATACCAATTAGGGATAGGATAGCATGCTAATCGTGCCGTGAGGTGAAAATCTGGGAGCTTATAAAAAAAACAGGCTTAATTTCTACCTGTCAATGAACAGGATGATCTGATCTTCCTTTTCCATCTTCTCAAGAGCAGATTTAAGGAGCCGCACCTTCTGGCCCCCTCCTGGTGGAGTCAGGTAGCCCCCACCTCTCCATTTCTCTCCTCTTCCTAGCACCTTCGAAATGAAACAAAAACCCTTTGCGTTTCCAAAGAACACTTTTCAAACTAAAGGCCCCCTAATTCAAAAACTACACAACATTTATCTAATGCATCATTCTATTTAGTTTCTGTTACTACCCTTTTGGTTGCACAGGCTGTAGTATACTAAAATAATTATCATCTCACATTATTGTGGATTCAGGGATGAAGACTTGAAAAATAAAATCCCCTAAAAAAACATCTACAGTATATATCGTTATTTTTTTAACATCAAGACTTTCCTTCAGAGTAAAAGAAACAGCCTTTTCTGCAATAAAACCTAATTGTTTTAATTACAATCTGAAAACCTGATGCTTCACATTTAGAATGTTAATGTAAATGGAGCGCGTATGGTTCATCTGTACCTTGATAGTGTAGTTGAAGAACTTGGCTGATCTCATGAAACGTTGAAATCCATCTGTCTCTTTGGTGGCAACAGTCAAGACTAAAAGATTTTCTGAAAAGAAGTTAAAAACAAAACAAATGTGGATGCATTTACAGTATTCACATAAAAAACTCTACCCGTAAACATTATACATTTATTGTATAACTTTTTGAATCACTTAAGGGATAATAAGGAGAACACATAATAAAACATTTTCAGCATCTCATTGCTTATTCAAATCATTGAATAGGGCATACAGGTGTGTCTTCAACACAGCATTTGTGTAGGAACGGAAACTAAGAAGGAATGAATCTCCGACTGAATTCAGGAAAGAAATCTTAGCAATGGCCTCGTGGGGATCTAGTACAAAGCCCCAGTCATAGCATGCAAGCCAATTCCCTGGGATGCCCCAAGAATGGTCTTTTATCCTTTAGAAAAGTACTGGATGTCGAAGTAACTCCAGTCCAGAATGCAGAGGAAGATAAGATCCTCTTGCAGCAGAGCTGCAGAACCTTTGCAAACCTCTATTGGCAACAGGTACAGACACACGGAGGCAAGATTCCAGGCAGACCAAGGAGGCTCCCGAAATGCCACCACACTGTGAAATACTTCACCAAACCACCACCAAGAACCGAACTGAAAGGTCAGGGGTTCGTAAGCCACCTGGTCAGTTCATAAACCGCTCAAGTCGCACTACCCTCTCATCCTTATTTATCAAAACGGATCGGCATACCTTTGGATATAGTGTTGAGATATTTCTTTAATACTTTATAGTGTCACTTGTGGCAACATTACTTCTCACTCCCCTGCGCATACATGCATTTCCCTTGAAGAATCTGTATGAACGCAAATGCGGTATGTGTTCTCTTTCATTAGGGAATATTGCGTTTTTCCAAAAGAGAGGTCTGCTATTGTGAAAATCTCACATGTACAGCTCATCAACTATAAATCAGACTGTTTCAAGGTAGTAAATGAGTGCCTTTAGCAATAGTGCCCCCTACAAAGCCCTGCGTGCGGACGCACAGCTGGAATGTACCGACTGCTGCAAGAGGAAATCAGAACCGGGCTGCTGGCGGACAGTGGCAAACCTTTCGTCCCGGTTTACAGACACAAAACGCCCCCACTCACACCCAACCCACCGCGCAGTCCACACTGACTGGAACACATCGTCTTCTAGAAAAACGATCACGTTTCAACCTTAGCTTAAAATGTATTCATTTCTCAGCTGTACAGGCAGACATCCACGTCAGCAGCTACAGAAATCTCGAGAAAACTAAATATTCCATGGGCTTTTTCCACCAACGTTGTGCACGATATTAACTAGATTACCTACTATATTATCTAGATCAACAACAGTAGCACTTTTACAGAGTTTTCTTAAGAAGTCCAGAAACGTTTGACGGCTCCATACTACTGACTGAAATACCAAATATCCATTAAGATCGTGCCTGAAGGCACGTATACATAGCACGTCAAATGTAAGTGCCAAGATTTAAATGAAATTCTGTTGTGCTTTTTGTTTGTTTGTCGTTTTATTAAAGAAACTTTGAAGGCAGTATTTTAAAAATCTACTTAAATTACTGAGGTTAGAGCGGGGGAGTTGCTTTAAAAGTACAAGCAGCAAGGAAATGTAGTGGTTAATTCCTCCCTAAAAGTTAAAAGGATTAATACCCTTTTAGCTGCAAAGCATTCTTTAGCTTTCGAGAATGCATTAACATCCTCCAGAAAGTGTTCATGCAATCGTGCATATCCTGATGAAATCACGCAAACTAATCTGTTACCCCCAGACGTTTCTTCAGGTTAACGGTAGCGTTACTTTACCTTCTGGTACGGGCTGCAGCTCTTCACAGTTCACCTTAACCAAAAGTATGGTTAATAAAATCCCCCATAACGGCATTAGTACCCCGGTCTTCATTTTTTCCTTTCCTACACCCTTTCGTTTCAGGCAATTTCCAGATTTCCTACGGCTCGCACTTTCGGTTCCTTATTCTTCCTCAAAATAGCTGTTCTTCCCCCCTCCGATTTCCCTGTTTTCGTCCCACTCTGAACCAGATTTGTTTAAGAGCCAGTGGGGTCGGAACTCCTCTCCACCCACAAGAGAGTTACCGCATCACCCGGGGATCCCACGAATCAGCAACGCTAGCCACCCCGACACCTCTGTCCACACCAGAGGGGGGTGGCTTTCCTGACAGAAACCTATGCCCAAGGAAAAAAAAAACATGTGGGAGTTGTGCACAGCTTCATCCCCTGAGAAATAATCTGGAAAAGAGTCTGGAATAATATAGTTAATATTTTAACTCCAGTTTGTAACTTTTTAAATGCAGTCACCCTTAGATGTCTGCGACTATTTCTTTTTTTCTAGAATAGCAGCTGTAAATCCTAAAACTTTGTATGATTAATACAATGCAGCCACAGAACAGCCTCACTTTCTCCTGCTTGTTAGCAAATCACGGTTGAAAAAATCTTTAACCGTTTTTTTATATATAAAATATTATTGTAAAACATTCCAGTTTCATTATTAACACTCCTCACTTTTTCAGCTTTTTATATTCGTCTTATTAATTTGATCTGTTTTGTCAACAGGCTTTCTAATGCATAAATGTGAATTTCTAGATGACTGAACCTCACCCCATTGGTTTTACATATTTCCCCAAATCATAATCAGAATTTACATGAAAAATACACACAGTATATTATTGTCAAAACTATCTAATATCAATGCCCGCTTTACAACTTTTTTCACAATTTGTTTTTAAATTGGGGCTTCCAGCTTTATAAAACTTTTATGAAAAGATAGATGTTGCTAAATTGTGACAGTTACAAGTAACTCTTCAACTGTTATTACTGAGGGATCATCTGCCAATTGGCCTGGGGATTTTTTTATCTACTGTATATTAATTACAAAATAATTATTTCCCTCCACTCTGCCATTCACTGCTACATAATATTCACACCCCACCTTCACACTGAATTGCGTTGTACCGAAGCAAAGGTCATAAACCATCTTGTGAAAACAAGATCATTGTTGTAAAAACCAAGGGAAGGGGGTGTTTTGCGACACTTCCGGTTGTTGTTTTGGACGCGGTTTACGGCACTCACGCCAGAAGTGTCGGAACTGGGACGGGAAGAGGAGTAGCAGCCCCTGGTGAAAATGGAGAAACCAGCAACGCGTTGACAAGGAAGGGGAAACGGACAGGCGGTTGCGATTCAAGGAGAGCTTAAAAATCGGAGGAAGCAAAATGATGGAAAAAAATACATAGTGGGACTTAAATCGATTACATCATGCAAATCGAGAGATCTTGACTTTTTACACCAGATCCGTATGCAGTTTTCTGCGTAAATACAGCACCGCACACAAAAATAAACGTTTCTGCAGAATAAAACGAGGTGAGGTATGGCTCCAGCAAGGAACTCCAGTTTAATCGAAGCTAATCTGCTAACCAAGTATTTGCACTGAGTACGGAAAGTGCCAGAATTAAAACTTTGGGAAGTTGTTCGCTGCGGTAAAGCATGTAAGAAATTCTCTGCTTATATATTTTGTTTATAATGTACTCCGACCATGAAAGTCGCTATGAAAAAGCAGTCGATATTTATGGGATTTGGTGCGAATGTTCAACAAATGTGAACGTGAAATAAGCCGATATTAAAAGAGCGCTAAAATTTTATATGTATTCAAGTTCGAAACCCGGAAGACTGTAAACTAGATTGCACACGACTCCAAGAAAACTCGATATCGAAACTGGGGGGAAAAACGCTGTAGATATACAAGGTACCTTGTGCTGTGAACATTGAAAGGATGCTGCACGTTAGTTGAAGATTGGATTTATAAAATATATATTTATATGGCTGACCAAAGAATACTGGGAGTTGGAAAAATGTACATACCCGTGAGTAGATGAAGCCTGTAAAATAAACGATGGGTGACAGAAACTGGTAACAGAAAAGCAATCAGTTTTGCATTAAGTTTTAGAATTAAACATATTATATAATGTGGCTTCAGCAGAGACTAAAGGGGCTGCCGGGGCTCTTGTCGAGCAGCTGGGCAAGGAGAGTTCTTGTTGGATTGCTGTTGTTCTTCATTATATACTGGTACCTCAGCTCAGATGGTATTTTGCGGATCTTCAGCAGTTCAGGGGAGCCTGGAGGAGCAACAGGCCAGTGCTTGCAGACAGAAATTCAGAGATGGAAGCAGGTCGCAGACAAAGGGGAGGGAATTATTATAACCCCACAAAGTAAGGTGGTTGTACCTGCTGTAGTTGGAAATGGACACTTCTTGGTGGACATTGATTCCAACAAACTGTGGATCTCCTCAGCCCAGTCTGGTTCTGCCCCGGTCTATCTGACAGAGTACTCGCCCTTGGTGGGCCTGAAGGCTTCCACGAAGCGCTCAGAGGCCGAGGCAGTGATGCTTTGGTTCCGTAAAGGCTCTGTTCTGTCTGCCCGCTGCACTCTGATGGGGCCTTCCCAGGCCACCCGGGACTGCGTCACGGTCAGAGAGGAGTTCATCGCCCACCGCAGCCGGCCCAGGGTTTACCTGCAGAGGATACACATCACCAACCCCTCCGACAGGACAGCCACCTTCGAGACCTTGGCCCCCTCCCCGTCCTTCGGGAGCAAGTTCTCGGCTAGCGTGGAGAAGGTGGAGGACAAGGAGTTCGTCCTCTCCTCGGGGAGGGTCCTGACCGAGAAGAAGCAGATCGTGCTGGTGGTAGTGGCCACAAAGAGACTGGCTGGCCGGCTGCATGTGGGTGCCAAGACGGAGTTTGTGGAGAACGTGCTGTCGGTGGTCCACACCTCTGAGCCTATCGAGGCATCCAAGCTGGAAGAAACCTTCACCAGGCTGAGGGACGGGGCTAAGAAGGAGATGGGGGATTTGCTGAGAATGAGTGTGGAAGAAATCTACCAGGACCATCAGCAGGCCTGGACAGACCTGTTTATATCTGGTAAGAGGATCAAGTCTGTTGAAGAAAGCTTCTGTTGTACTTTATCATGAGAGAGAACAGATACACGCTCATTAAATCTGCTTCACAAATTCCTCCTGCATAATTTATATTCTCATATATACAAACTTAATTGAAATGTGATGTTAGTAATGAAGTCGTTTCCAATAAGCATCTTGAAGTTTGAGTTCTGTGGTGTACCATATTAAAATTCAGGAACCCACCACTTTTTAATTTTTAGAACTTTAAAGCTTTTGTAGGGGAATATGAATAGGCTGTATACTGTGTTCAGTTTGACCTCTCCCTGGTGTGCTGGATCACATGGGCTCAGTGACTATTCTAGGAAATGGGCCAAGTTATAGTTTTTTCAGACGTCTAGATCCCTGCTTCAGCATTTTAACCTAGTGAAAAAAAAAACTCTGAGACGCATAACTTGATACAGTGTTTCTAACGCATTAAATGGTAAATTGTTTTAATTTAATCTAATATACTATCCAATAACTGATCTTTTTCTGCTTTTGAGGGGACTTTAGAAAACCTTGTTGCATTGTTAGAAATGTACTTGTGTGAATTTGGAAGACTTTTTGCTAGGAGTAATAAAATAAAAGGTGAAACAAAATAAATACCGGTACTCTTGAGAAACAAGTACTGAGCTGAAATTGAAAACCATACTGAAGTCAACATCTCATTACCCGGGGTAGTCCGGTGTGATGTAAAAGAATGAAATGCCAAAGCAAAGGTTTAATGATTTTTGTAATTTTCCTCTGGTGTAGATTTAAAAGAACTGGATTTCTGTTTTTTTTTTATAAATGCCTTTGTTTATATTATGAATTGTTACGTCAATGGTAGGCATCTACAGTGAGTATAATTTTTTTCCGTTTTGTTCTACCACAGGGGTGGAAATGAGAAAGATTATGGACTCTCACACGCCGTCCAGTGACACAGTGAACACCACGTTTTATTACGTTCTCTCCACCTCCACGGCGCCCCTGCTGGACAAAAGGATCACTGTGGAAGAGCGCGAGAGGCTGGAGTCCAGCCTTAATTACGCTGACCACTGTTTCAGTGGCCACGCCACCATGCACGCTGAGAACCTGTGGCCAGCGCGGGTCACCAGCGTCGCCCAGATCCTGCAGCTCGTCAACCTCTGGAACCTGACCCTGCAGAAACGGGGCTGTAAGGTGCTGGTGGCGGCGGGGGTTCACGGGGTGATGCAGGGCATGGTGCTGAGCTTTGGGGGGCTGCAGTTCACCGAGAACCACCTGCAGTTCCAGGCGGACCCTGATGTCCTCCACAACAGCTATTCCCTGCGAGGCATCCACTACAACAAAGACCTGATCAACCTGGCGGTGCTGCTTGACGCCGAAGGCAAGCCCTTCCTGCATGTGTCAGTGAAGCCTCAGGAGAAGCCGGTCAAGCTGTTTGCCTGTGAGGCCGGCTGCATGAACGAGCCCGTGGAGCTGACCTCTGAGGTCAAAGGGCACACCTTCCCCGTGATGGTGACCCAACCCATCACGCCTCTGCTCTACATCTCCACAGACCTGACCCACCTGCAGGACCTGAGGCACACCCTGCACCTGAAGGCTATCCTGGCCCATGAGGATCACATGGCCAAGCAATACCCTGGCCTCCCATTCCTCTTCTGGTTCAGCGTGGCGTCTCTCATCACGCTTTTCCACCTCTTTCTGTTCAAACTGATCTACAATGAGTACTGTGGACCAGGGGCGAAGCCCCTCTTCAGAAGCAAGGTATAGAAACCGGCAGTCCAGTTGACCCTGCTTTTTTGCTTGGGCACGGTTTTATTTTGCTTTTTTGCCCGTTTTCATTCTGACAACTGTCTTTGCCTTTTTTCTTTTCATTTTCTGGAGTGGCTGTCTAGTAACTCTCCAAACTGTTTTAGAAGGCCATTCTCAGGGAGTTTTTTTTTGCAAACGTTTGCTTTGCAGAGCCTTCCTTTTCTGCCATTTGTACGAGTAAATAAATCTGAAGAAAACTGAAAGGATGCAGCAGTCGTATTTAAACTACATCCTTTTTTACTGATAGTTAAAATAACATTAAAACTGGTTTTTAACACTTCTCAACATCTGTTTCTAAGGTCTCAGTCTGTGGAAGCCTTTCTGCCTAATTGAAAGCGTCAGTGCAAGAGTATCGGCATGTCTTTGTCAGAGTTTCAATAACAAGAACTGAACCCTAGCTAAGACTCTTAATCAAAACTTTTATGTATTTATAATCCAGCATGACTTTTATAGAATTAAGTTTGCATTGGAGTCCAGAAATAAAGAATTGGTCATTTTCAGAATTCAGCTGGAGCTCATTTAAATGGAACTGCACATATTACATTTTTTGAAAAATGCTTTTCAGTAACAGTAGGTCACTTTAAGGTTAATACACCTTAAAGTAGACATTTAAATGTGAATATAGTTCTCCAATAGGTATAAAACTGTAAAATAAGATAAATCGTAATGGGAAATTAGTGTTTTGGCTTCAGTTAGGGCATTAATGGAGTGAATCTGATTTAGTGACTTTTAACAATGAATGACAATACATGAGATTCTATGGTACCAGAAGCATTGGTTTAATTTATCTTCAGATTTTAAAATTGTGCTTCCACTGATGTCTTCAAAATTCTGGGTTTTGGAAATATATTCTCACAAATCTTTTTTTTCCCCTTACACTTTGGTGCTTTAATACACACAGCTCTCAAGTTTGAATACAGTTATACAAGTTTTGTGTGTGTTAAAGGACAGCTCATATCTCTTTTTTTCTAGATGCATTTTCTGGTGTGTACAGAGTGGGACAATGGTTTGGACAATGGTCTACCACAGACGTAGCTCTGAAAACATCTCACAAGTCAAGGAAGTACACTTGTGTAACACAACAGAATTTTGTAAACTTGCTCTGCATGGGGCAGACTGTTCCCTGACAAAGCAGACCTGACAAGTACTTTCTGATGCTTTGAAAAAAAAATGTAGATCTTGAAGTACTTGAATGAGCAACATGAGTGTTCAGGTGGTAAAACCACTCCTTAAAATTCACTTCTTCTAAAAAGTACTTCTTGCTTGTCTTGTTTAGTTGGCTAATTTGCACACCTTTGTTAAATTTTAACTGCCGTTGACCTTTCATCACATTCTTTCAACACTCTTCATGGAGTACTATGTGGAGAGTCATTGATATTGTATGACTGTTTATTCAGGGTACTTCTCTACAAATTGTGTTACACAAGTTGCAATAACACTTCTTAGCTGACATCAGACTAATCGCTAACAGAGGTATTGCTTTTTATGGTTTCTTGGTGTGTGAGTTTTTCATTGATTTGGTGGAATTAAATCAATAATAATATTACAGAAGTTGGGTGTCTTAATTGTGTGGCGACAAAGACGCTGTTTCATTTGTGAAGATTTATCCCAGCAACTGGTTTGCACTGATGCACTTTCTGTATTGAAAGTTTCAGTTTCTTTACAGAGCTGCTTTGCAGTTTGATGATACAAATTTCTTATGTGTTTTGGCAATAATGCCTGATATTTTATATACTTAAATATAGAAAGTACATTATTTTCAAAATTATTTTTAATTAAATTAATTAAAAATATATTTTTTAGAAATCTCTTTGACCATAGACAAAACTTGTGTCTTTTTAGTCTAATTCAATCTCTGCATAAAAAAAAATTGCCATAATTTACTACACCTACATTTCATTAATGTAAATGAAATGTACATTAATTTCACATTTAATTTAAATGTTAACCACTTTCTTTTTAAGACACAAGGGTACTGACATTACGAAACACCAACTTTGTTGTTACTCATAATTAAATTTGCAATCTTTTCTCCCTTACAGTTTTAAACATCTTACATTTTTTTTAAATTAAACATATCATTAGAATGTATCGTTTAATATATGATTATAAATATATTAGAACACACTTCTAAAAGCATTGAACTAATCTGATATTATTGGCATTAAAAAGGGAAATGCAGCTGTCCCATTGGTAAACTTTAAACAACAATACATTTGAAATCAGTGATTAGATTGTTTGACCATACTGTTCTGCATACAGTAGCTTCAATTTTTTGTTTAGGCTGTATCTAAGAGCGTTTATTTTGTTGCTGCTATTAGCGGTGCTAATGAGTTATAAGTGTCTTCGAAAAAGCTAATATTCCACGTACACAGGAAGACTGTGGTCATGGAGAAATCTATGCTAGCCTGGCAGGTGTTTTTCTCCATCAAATATCTGAAACTTAGTGCTTGAACCTTTTGAAAGAAAATGAACTTCTTGTTTCCATTAACTTCCTGAAAGAACCGTCTTGAACTGTGCTGAATAATTCGTTTTTTTTAATTTTGTTTATACTCGTTTGTCCCCCTAACCTGACAAACCGTAAATGTTTGTCTTTTTAAGAATTCTTAACCATTGTAATTGACCTCATTTTACTTTTACACTAGAAAAAGGTGTTTGTGCTGTTTTCTGTAAGTACATTTCTCAGGTTTAAGACATATGAAATTTAAGATTCTCTGGGATTCAGGGGGCAAAATACATGACATTAAGCTTTTCATCACAGTTTGATGGAATAAGATTAATAAGACATTAACACCATTGCTATTTTAATGACAACTTTTAAACCTCACCAGGTAATGACCAGCAATGATGACGTATGAGACGGTAAGAAGAAATCATCAAATACACGATCTGAAGGACCTTCAAAGAATCCATCCAGAATATGTTTGGAAGTTGCGTGTGTGTGAAAACACTTTTAAATTTATTCTTATATTTATTGTTAAGTGAAGGGTTGGGACGAGCTTAATTTTCTTTACTGGTGTTGGTTTCATACAAAACAGGAAGTAATATTGCTGTTAGAAGCATGTCTTTAATTTACTGGTGACTACAGATAATGGTGATTTTGGAAAGGATGTTACCTTCAGCTTTTGACTCCATTGATTATAACAGGGTGACCCCTAGATGAAATGCAGGTGGTCACCACTGGAAAGGGGTTAGCACTCAGTCGCCAAAACTCAACAGGAGGAAAACCGTGTTCCATCTTTAACGCAGGTTCATTTCATTCTTCCCTCATTGTCTGCAGAAAGATTTATTTAAATAATTGTATCTTGTTCTCCCGAGACAAGTTATTTATAATACTGCATTTATAGTGGATTATTAAGGCTAATTTTATTCAGCTAATAGCTGAAGGGTTTTGCAAACCTTAGAGCTTTCTAACCATGCACATAAATGTCTTCATGAAGTTTCCTGTTTTAATTTTTTCTTAAGAAGTTATATTGTTGATGAGCAGTAGGACAGTGAAAAATCATCTGCAGGTAATTACTGAATAATACTGTCAAAATATTATGACAATCCAAAGGGATTGAATTAACTGTGTAATTATGAAGTTCTGATGAAATTCTAGACTGCAGTTCACATAAATCACATATACAGTAGCCAAATATTAGGAGAGGGTTGTTATTCAGCAGGTCTATACAGTTTAAATGCCAGAGGTAAATTAACTTTCCAGGGTAACTCTAGGTTGGTCATTGTATAGAATGGTAATGGGCCTAGAATCATTTAGATGTCTTATAACTGCTTTAATTCTGATCATTTACATAAAAATCAACAGAAACCCCAGGTCCCAAGAGAGGATCAGAATAGCATTTTAATGCTTCATTTAGATTTTGAAGGTGTTGTTTTATTTTATTTTTGAATGAATTGATGTCTTTAGTATTAATGGATGTATCTCACAGTCCTTAGTTCATTTAAAGACAAACACTCTCATTGTGTTACGCAATAAGGGCTTATTAAGTTTGTGGTTGCCATGACAAATCACAACTTTCATGCTTGGAATTCTGTATTGTTTATAAGACTTGTCTTTTACAGAAGGTTGTATCCTGCCTTCACCACTTCATAAGAACATAAGAAGGTTTAGGAATGAGTGGAGGCCTTTCAGCCTTCATCCAGCCCTTTTGCTAGTTAGCACTTCAGTGATTCAAGGATCTCATTCAGCCATTTCTTGAACAAAGCGGGGGTGTCTGCTTCTCCAGCATGGCTGAATAGGCTCTTCCAGGCCTTCGCAACCCAACAATGTCACGGAAATCTGGAGTAAAAAGCTTTGAAAATCACCCTTTCGGTGCTTTGGAGTTTCAGAAAGGTTTCAGAGAATATATTGAGTAAATTACCTGTATTCCCTTTTTTAATGACCCGGCTTGGATTTATAGAATTCTGTTTTGTTCTCCATGGTGAATATTCAAAGGAAACTCCTTTTGTAAAAATCATTACTGGGTTGAAATCACATAATTAACACTTTGAAGATTAAACACATACAGAATGGCTGAATTGTGACCAACAAATTCAGATTGTGCCTGTTAATGACACATTTATAGAAATCATTAGTTTTTTTTTGTGAGGCTTCTTCTCGAAACTGTGTGCAATTATGATTGAAGGTCTCCGTGTTTGAAAGTTATTTCAGACCATTTTAATAAAAAGGATTTAAAATAAATGGGTGTTCAAGTGGATTCAAATGCTGTTTTTTCTAGATCCAGAATAAATGAAGAAAATCAAGTTCATTTGTTTTATTTATTCTTCTAACCCCATTTCCAACTCACAGGAAACTGCCAGACATATCTTCATCCAGATGAACTAACATGGCTTTGAGATTTGTCTTGTTCAGCAAGGCTGGCATGTGTGAACTTTATTGCCACTACAAAGGCAATTGCTTCTGTAAATATTTAAGCATTACACAACCAATGTTCTCATGAAAGCTGAGGCAGCCACACTACTAGGAAGCTTTCTATCGCAAAATGCATTTCATTTCCAGCCTGACAACCACCCCTACCCTGTCTGTATAACACTGTTGCACATGCTTGTATTACAGACCTCACAAAAATAAAGGGCCACAGCTGTGATGTGGAACCTCCTGGCCTATACACCAGCACATCAAAAGGCTATCTAATTCTAATGAGCAGTGAGTAGACGAGGCCATTACACTCCTCAATTAGTCGCCCCTGCAGAAACGCAAATGCAAGCATATGTTAGCCAGTGGCCCAAGAGGACAGGGATATAATTTGGGGCAATTGCAATTATGTATCACACAAAGCACGAAAGGGCTTTTGCTGATATGAAGAAGACCTATTTCAAGGAATGGAGACAAAGAGTTGTCTCCAGCAGCATCAGCTGTGCTCCCGTACTTGTCAGAGCAATCAGCCAGGGAGTAGAATGGCCAGGACTAGGGAAAGCACAGGCCTGTTTTCCCTTGATCCTATTGTTCTTTTTTACATTGGTCCAGGGAAAGAACATTAGAAAAGGCTTTGGTTAGCAATGAAAATAGACCCAGACCATCTGAGGAGTTAAGCGATGAGACTGCGGTGACATCGGTATACATTTCTACGTAGCTTTGGAAGGCTCATAAAAATCGTAAAATTTCAAATGAGGTCTGCATTTATTGAAGAAATCTAAATACTGACTGCAATCAAGCATGCATAAGGAATAAACACTGGTGTATTCAACTAACTTCTATTTTTCTTTCAGGTTACAAAGACAAACCACTCATCCATCTATCCATCTTCTCACCATTTTATCCAGTATAGGGTCATAGGGGAGCCACAGCCTATCCCAGTAAGCAACAGTCGCAAGGCAGGGTACACCCTGGATGGAATGCCAATTCAAACCCCTCATCACAAAATCAATATATATATATATGTCTTTCTGAAGATGGATTGGGACAACTGGGACAATCGTCTTCATCTTCAGTGACGATTATTCCTCAATATAACAATCTAGTTTTACATTTTTTAAACCTTTCAGGATGACATTTTAATTTCAGTTAATAAGAGTTGATAAAGAGCTTTTAAAAAACACAATTTAAGGGAGTTTCAGGCTAACAACTACCTTTCCTAACCTGATTGGTTGCCTGACATGTCTATGATTGAATTATACAGGGATTTCTCCTGATCACAGGTATGAGACTTCGGTAAAAAAGCCTGCATTCGATCATTGTATAAGTCATCTGGTAACAACAGCAGCTGCCAACTTCAAGCACACAACAGTCTGAAAAGATTTAGGACCGAAAAGGTCTGTGTGATAAACAGTTTCACTAAATGAAAGATTCCAAGATTCCAAGGCAAACCGAATTAAGACCACAGTGTGGTCCTAAACTGAACTAAAGGGAGCAAAACAAAATTAACAAAAATATTCAAATTATTTCATCTTATTTGATATCAGAATGTGAAAAATAAGCTAGTGTTATCTAAAAAAGTCCTAGTAAATAAATGTCATGTATCCCACCTGCCATATCGTGTCACTCCCTGGGATGGTCCTGCAAACAGCTGGCTACAATTCTCAGATCATTAAGCTGGGTTGAAAGTTGTCCTTCCCTTTGTAACCGGTTTTACATTCCTGGGCCTCTGGAGGCTCCCTGGTCACTCACCACTGATCCAGAAAACAAATGACAGGCCGTACCGACAGAGCGAAGATAGATTACGCTCTCAAAGTTTTCAACAACATTTGTTTTCACGAAGTACCAAGGTCATTGATGTTAACTGTTGTTCACCAGTTCGATTCATATTGCTTTGACCTATTAGTCCAATAGTTCTTGTTTTAATCTTGGCTGAGACAGCAGAAATGAAGGAATCCATTAAAAGCCATTTACCTTTACTATTGCCTAGAAAATTCCAATCTATGCATTAATCCTGTTTCAGTCTGCATGATTAAAAACCTGTACAAATTCACCTTTGAATTGAAATTGAGCACTCATATCGTTTATACTGTACGTACAGTACAAATACCATTTTCATTCAACTGTTTTATTTGTAATTACTCAGCAATAATATGATCATATCAGTTTGCAAACAGTAATACCCTACAGTATAAAGCTTTACAAAATAAATGGAGAAACGATTATTTCAGAAGCTTCCCTACAGAGGGAATTGATTGAAATTTAGCAAGCACTTTTCCACAATTACAGGAATGAAATACAGCAGTGAAAGCTACAGAAACAAAGCCGTAGTTTCCATTAGACAGCCACTGACCGACAAGGTTGCACATGAGCCTTTTCGTCAGCGACCCTTTAATCGGCTCATTAAAGAGACACCTCTGTGCACCGTCCTTGTCTGACACTACTAATCCTTCATAATAAAATCATAGAGGAGGAACGTCACCGTTTGCTTTTCCGTTTGCTTTTATTTGACATCCAGGTTGTATGAATAGGGGATTGTTTGACACCGCACCCGTGCTTATGCGGAAATTAAGACCTTTCTTTGGAAGTTGAGCTTCCTCAGTAGCTGAATTAAATTTTGCGGCTCAAGTTGTAACCCATTAATTAGGATCTGATGTCAGGAGTAGGGAGGTCTATGAAAAAGGACTGTTTTGCCTCTGGGGCGCTCTCCTCGTCGTCGCTGAAAGGGACATTTACTAAAATCCGACAGAAGAAAGCCAAACCGCACAGGAAATCCCAGCCAAGGAAGAAAGAGGACATCGAGAGCGACTGTGAACTTTGCAGGCAAGATAAACGAATTAATCACATTAATACTACAGCATCACAGCGGGAACATTACTATATTAAGACTGGGATTAGCTTTCAAAAGTTGTGGTTAAAAATAATTCTGTCCTATAGAATAAACCTTTTAAGACATTATTTTACACTATAAAAAGAAAAAATATATAAACAAGTCGCTGTTTGAAGATAATAAATTGAATATTTACATCTTACATCGATATTGATATTTATTGTTTAAGGAACAACGCTATTATTAAATCCACATGTTAGAGTTTCACACTGATATACAAGCATTCGTTGTTATAAGTTCTAAAAATGTACTTATTTAAAGGTTGTGTGTGTTAAAAAAAATAATTGCGAAATATTCCAGCATTGTTACAGAGCAAGGTATAAAGTTATTGGAAAATGCTTGCAGAACAATTATAGATAACTTTATATATTTTCATGTACATCCAGAAAGCAACTGGGATTTAGAGTAAAAAAATCCACACTTTAATGGAGCTATTTTATCCAGGGTATTGAGCAAGGAAATAAAAAGGCAAATATGGAAGATGTATTTTTCTTCAGTTTTTTTATATGAAAAGCCTTATTTATTCCACAAGATGATTTGTTTCGGAGTTGTTACTTTAAATATTTTTTTATTGTTTTAAGCAAGTATTGTTCATAATAAATGTAATTAATGCCCGGCCTAGAAAATATTTTAGTGAAACAGGACAAGAAATTTTGTAACAAAAAAATAACGGACCTTCAATATTTGTTGTAAGGTACAGATTAAGTGTTAAAAGTTCGAAAGCATTTGTATTCTTCTACATGCGACGTTTTAAAGGCATAATGAAATATCATTAACTAACAGAAAGCCGATTATTCCCAGTAGGGATTGTCGCAAATCGGAGACTATTCCAGAAGCACAGAATGTAGCGAAACTATACTGTGGGGAAGTACTCCGGTCCATCGAAAAAAATAATGAAATAATATGATAAAGTTAGTAACAAACATATCCCAACAGATAATTTCAGCAGAGTTACAGAATTGTGTACAAATTGCTTAATGTGTATTAAATAGAAATGACTTCCCTTTGATGAGGAACGTAAAATATATTTCTCTTGATAAATAGAAAGTCGCTCAGTAATTTGTTTCTAATTAGATGTTTTATTAATTAAAGCTATGTCTTGTTCGAACTGTGTGTTTTTTTCCTGCCAAAGTTACACAGAACGTAGAAGCTAGAGCAAAAAGCAATGGGAAATAATTATTTTGCATAGCCTAAATCAGAGATCACTTTGGTGATCCAGTTCTTCAGAAGTTAACTGAGTTGGTTTTCAGAAATAAACGCCTTTAATGTCTCTAAACATATACTGTATTTTGCAACAATAATTAATAATAATTGTCAGACAATTAACGTTAAATTGCTTATTATTATTATTATTAAAAGCATCTAGCACACCTATAATTCCAATTTAGTAAGAAATCAATATTTTCTCAAAGTTTCGAAAGGAAATTAACTATTACGATTCACAGTTAGGCTGGTATACATTGTATTTTTTCTGTAGCATTAAAAATCCTTTCGTTGTGAGAGGAAAAAAAATAACATTATATATACTGTATATAAAACATTTTTATCTGGAATGCGTTTTTCTTTGTGTTTTGGATGTTCTACAAAGCAATAATATTGCACAGACATACTTGATTTGATACATTGCGGGGGTGCTGTTTCATGTTCAACAGGTGCTCGTCCTCCCCGAATGTTGGTAGCAGCAGAACGGTTCGGCGGATTCTGACTGCTTGCGTCATCTCGCTCTTGGCTCTCCTCGGATCGGTGTCCGTGGACCTCGGCCCAAGCCTGCAGGTATGGCGGGACACCGAGGCCGCGCTCAATGAGCTCACTTCGTGCAAGAGCGTCCTCATTCTCGGGCTCATTCGGGAGCTGCAGAGTGACCAAGACTCCTGTAACGCCACGTCCCCTGGAGCTTGTCAGCACTTATCCACCAACATCATACCGAGAATCAGCCACCTCTGTCATACCCTGGATCTTGAAGTTAATGTTTCTGGACAGTTATGTGCTGAAGATCAAAAGGAAATCTGTCAGACACTTCTTTTGGTGCTACCCACTGTCCTTAATGGCACAGGAGAAAAAGAAGACTCAGATACAAATGTCACAGGAACTGCTTTCTCCCTGACCATTTCAGAGCTCTTGGACCTCTGGGGAGATCCAGAGCTGGATATCTGGAGAGTGAGGTTCAATCCTGACTGGGCAGATGTATTGTCTCTTAAACTTCTCCTGAGGTTCCAGGTGGCTGCCCGAAACACGAGGGAGTCATTCTCACCCCTGCCCAATCAACACCTTGTGAATTCCTGGTATCACGCGGTGAGCCATCTGAGTTTTGCTATGTTGGTGTCAGAGAATCTGCAGAGCTGTTGGCTGGAAAAGGGCAACGTATCCCAGCATGCAACGGGGCTAAGAAAGCCTCCAATTCTCCTGCCTTTGTGGACTTCCTTCGGCATGAGCTCAGTCAGCCACACCGATGCAGTCATTTACACGCTGGGTGATGTACAGAACTGCTTGCTGGACAGGGCGAGACAGACTTTGAAGAAGAAATCGAGAGACTTCATCTCCACTGTGAGCCTCAAGCTATGCTTGCTGTCTATTGCCTGTCTCATCTATCCCATAGTGCTACTGTCCTTTAAGCAGATGACAGAGTGGATAGAGAACTATGCAAGGAGCCTAAAGGAGAGAACTGAGGACCTGAAGCAGGAGAGACGTCTGGCAGAAGACCTCTTGCACCAGATGTTACCCAAATCTGTAGCTAAGCAGCTGCGACAGCAGAAACACGTAGAAGCTGAGAGTTATGAGAAGGTAAGGTACACTGCCATGTCTTGGAGATCATGTAATTCTTATAGGGTGTCTTATAGGTCACCCTATATCACATTTGGGAACATTAGAAAGTGTGATTCCTTAAGCAAGTAAGATGTTCTTATTTTCTTAATGAATCAGATCTAATAGGGCAGACTGGCATTTGGAGTATTACTCCATTATTACTTTATTTTTTAAAAATCACCTGCTGTATTGTTTTAAATTAATTTTTGAAGTCTTTAGAAAATTCGGATCTAAAGATTACCCAGAAAATCTACTGGGACCATGGCGGGAGATCCCTGCTATAGGTGATGGCTGAACACGATACAGTTTTATGTGAAAGGTAAGTCACAAGGATCTGAGAGGTTAGTGTGCGATTTGCACACATATCAATGAGAATATAGCACATCGGCCTCAAACATTTGCACACAAACAAAGGGAATAGCCCGTCCTTTCCTTTTTTGTTATATTCTTAAAATTATTAAAATAATTAAAACAATGTATTAAAATCATTATTAATTAACCATTTATCTGTGGTCTTCTTAAGCTGGAATGTGCCTCACATTGCCCAGTTAGCATTGTAATTCCTTTTAACAATTTGATTTCTTTCTCTGGCAAAAATGGGAAAACGTGAAAAAACAGTGTACTGTACTATTTGTCTTTTTTCGAGAAGACTTTGATGATAATCAAAAGAAGGTGAATAGGTTTTTTCTGCTTGCTGTTGCAGAAATTTCATATCAAGTGACAAAACTAAAAGATGTAGCAGGCTGCTTTTTCCTGCACACAAAAGAAGACAATTGCTTTTAGATGAGCTGGGAACAGAGCAATGTAACTGTGCATATGAATTATATTATTTGTAGTTATTGTCCAAATAATTACCTATAATTATAGTATTACATATTCATTAGAAGATAAGACAGATTATGAAGGTGAAAAGAATGCTCATCTCATTAGGGCTTGCATGATCCATTAGAGCAAGCTGGGTCCTAAAGCAACAAACATAGAAATCGATTCATTTGTGTGTGTATTTGATTGCATTAAATGAAGGCTAATTTGGAGTGTTAGAAAAATAGTGGACTAAATTTGGGGTCTTCTTCAGTGAAAGGAAATGCATGTTATTCTGAGTTCATTTCTAACCGCGTAAAAGCAATGGAAAACCAGACAATAGTAAAGGAATGCTAAGACCTAGAGTTATAAAAATAACACAAAAAAAACTAAAACTGAAGTTTAAAGGCTCTCATGGGTAGAGATTCTGTTTTCAGTTTTTGGCTATGCTGACTATTACTAGCTATACAATTCTAGTATGGACACAAGTACTGAACCCCATGATTTTTTCCTTATACTTTTGTGCATCAATGCAATAAAAAAACCCCACAAACCACAAATATTGACACACTCTTTCAATGTTAGAATTTTTTGTTTACATGTTCATATGTTGGGAAAATAAATACATAGAGAAGAGAAGTCCAGGTGATGTTATATTTGCTTCCAGAGTACATGTACTGATTTGTGGAGTTACAGAAATATTTTGAAAGCCAGGACACTATACTGTTAAAAGATGCTGTCCTTCATATGAGATTTAAAACTGAGGTCCTCACTCTGTGGTTTTTAGGTTTTTAATAATCCCAGGGCGTTTCTTGCAAAGAGTAGGGGTATTATCCTGGTGTCCTGACCAAATTTTCCCCTCTACTTTCTCTACTTTCCCCCTCTAAGTTCTTCTACTCCACTGACAGCTGATGTGTGACGAGTGTCTAATAATTGCATATTATTATTATGAATTAAGTGAACTAAAGGGAATTCAGAAATCTTCGGTTCTATGTTCAGCTTCCATTATTTGTTTTTACAGCCTCACTCATCATAACTCAGTTCTCAGTTAAACTCATTTGCCTTCCATGTTTACTTTCATTTTTACTTTTATAATACGTTGAATACCTATGATCCTTAAGAGGTGGTTTCCTTTCCCTTGGGCAGGTGACAATATTCTTCTCGGACATTGTGGGCTTTACTGCTATCTCAGCCTCGTGCACCCCCCTGCAGGTAGTGGAGATGCTGAACAACCTGTACATGTGCTTTGACACCCGCATTGACTCCTATGACGTGTATAAGGTAAGCACAAAGCACCCCCAGGCTTGTTTCATCTTAGCAGTTTAGATTCTTTCTTTGACAGTTCTGAGCTTCAAAGAAAATAGTTTGTTTAAGCTGCTGAAAAAATGCTATGAATTCCACCTGCTGGTTGCTCCTTCTTTGCAATGTTTTCCAATTGTACCCCAAAGGCGATTCTAACTGGATAAAGGCTATTCTTGATCTCCCTCTTCCCAGGTGGAGACTATTGGAGATGCCTACATGGTGGTGAGTGGCCTTCCGGAGAGGAATGGGGACCGGCATGCTGATGAGATTGCCAAAATGTCCCTGGACCTGGTGGCTGCTGTGCGGCAGGTGCCCATACCACACATGCCTAGTAAACGGCTGCAGCTCAGGGCTGGCATCCACACAGGTAAGGCTATAAGAAGGCTTCCAAATGAGAGAAATCCATAGAGCTAACTGACCCCAGTCTCCTACCCCAAATGTGTCTTGGAGGACAAAGGATTTTTCTACTGCATAGTTGGATAGGTTGTTGAAAACTCTTTACGCAAAGAAGTGCAATCTTAGTCTCTAATGCACTATTTTTATTTATTTTATTTTGTTCTTCTTGTTTGCTCATCTATTAGCCTGGGCACATTCTCACTCTTCTGATTCGTACAAGCTAGACTGCTTCAATCCTCCTGTTCGCTTGAGGTACATTTTGTGTGAGCCTAAGTTATAGAGAACTTGAATGTTCTGTTCCTTCTGATGGAGCCTGCTAATAGCTTTTACATGATGAACTGTGACCATCACGCTTGCTTGATCACAAATGCTTCCCCACCTATACTTACCCCCAAATGGTGAATCTTTACCCAAATGGTGAATGTTTACACTAAACTCCTGATGACAAAGGAAGGTTTCTATTTCCTGGAGTTACATCAAAGACAGGAGGGGGGAAACATGTATATAAGTTCTGTAGGACCATATCCCCTTTGAGCTACGACAGGTACTATACCTATTATGGTCCTTATTGTGGTTCCTTGTATGCATACAATAAAGCTTGGCTGGACGAACGAACACTTCACGCTCGAATTTCTTAGTTTCTACACTTCTTATCTGGTGATTTTTTTTTATAAATCACAATTGACAGAAGTAATACAGAAACCAGAGACAATTAACAGTGTTAATGTTTGGGCCTGCAGTCTGTTAACGTCTCCTGGAGAAAGTCCTATTGTGACAAAATACCACGTGCAGAGCAGATACACCAGAATGCTCCAGTAATGCAGTTCTAATAGCAAATAAAGAAGACTAATAGTTCATTACAATGATGCTGAAAGGATCATCATTACTGCTGTAAGGATAATTTCCTGTCCAAATTGTTGTTTGTGCTTGTTGAATCAGGTCCCTGTGTCGCGGGGATTGTGGGCTACAAGATGCCGAGATACTGCCTGTTTGGAGACACTGTCAACACAGCCTCGAGGATGGAGTCCACCAGCCTGCGTAGGTAGACCCTCTCTTGTTTGCAGCAGTGGGTCTGAATATTCAGCTTTTGTTAGAAGAAAGCGCTCTCCGTTTTTCAAGCCCGGGAACTGTATCATGAATATTTTCAGTTATTATATCACCATAGAGACCGTGTTATTTCAGTCTTACAAGATGCAGAGTCCATCGTTAAAATCTCATTGTTTCCTGCTATCACACTAACACGCGGTCTTTCAGGTTGCTTTCCAAGACAGAGGACGAGCTTAGGTAGTTTTCTGTGTGGTTTATATACATTAAGCCTGTATTCACCAGTAAACACTACAGATCTACACATTGGGTGTGGATTCTTGGGATCCCTGGAGACTGGAAGAGGAAGTTGCCCAGGAAGTTGCCTGGGGCAGGGATGATGGGCTGGGGGTAGAGGGGGGTTTGGGGTGGGTTTTACTGTTGTACTGCTGTAATAAAAATAACAACAACAATTAACAATTAATAATAATTAATTATTATTACTGCTGTAAGGATAGTTTCCTGTCAAAATTGTTGCTTCTGCTTGTTGAATCAGGTCCCTGTGTCACAGGGAGGTGCATGGGAGAAAATGGGATTGTTTTTTGTATTATAACAATTTCTGTATTCTTTTCCAAAAACAAAAAAAGATCTGTTTTTTTTCCAAGATAAAATCCCAGAATGCATAAATCATGGGGATATACATTATGTATCAAATGCAATGGCCAATATAGACTAACGGCAATAAAACAAAATAAACAGTGAAAGCCAAGATAGGAAATTAAAGTTTTCACTGTTGATTTAAAAGAACTCACAGTGCTGCCAGCACTAATGCCCTCTAGAAGATTGTTCTCCAGTCTCAGTGCAAAGCAGGGAGAAGCACTCTGAAGGATCACTGTCCATCATAAGAGCAGCACTGTGACATTGTTCTGGGGACACACAGAAGCTGAGTCAAGAGAATGTGGACGTGGGAAGTGAAGGCCATGAATGTAATTTGGAGCTGAGAATCAAGGCAGAGATGTTAAAACTAGTGGGACCTAAAATATCTGAAACTAACCCTTCAAATTCAAATTCATTTTGCATACCCGGTGGTGTTAAAGATTTGTGCCGTACACCACAGCTCGGTGACAACGTTTTTTTCTTCTATGGCAGCTCAAAAGGTTCATGTCAGCTCTGCCACCTACCTCGCTCTGAAAAAGGATGATGCCTATGAGCTTCAGCTGAGAGGGGAAATAGAAGTTAAGGTAATATTAGAGACAGCCATCTCATCTCCCAGGCAGGTTCATTCTCCCACATCCTGAGTCTTATACTGTAAATGTAAGCTTTGTTTTTAGTTCAGAAAGATAAAAACATTCCCAGTTTTCTGTCAGTATTCTCATTTTATATATTCAACCAATCTTAATGAGAACAAATACAGGAGACATTTCTTTTTTTTTCCCATAGTGTCTCTTGTCACACATTTTTAAAAGAACTGTTGGGAGATGGTTTGGTTTTGCATTAAATAGCATGTTTTTATAAAACAATATAAAGTTTTAAAGTAGTATAAAGTTGTAGGTGATTGCTATACACATATTGTTCATATAAATATAGGGACAATTGTGATTACTACTGTGTACAGTAGTATTATAGGCATTTGTCAAAAATGTTGTCTACAAATGGTCTTTCTGTCTGCTTTTCATATAATTTTACAGAGACATAGAATTCACCATTAAATTGTAATGTTTTGGTATTTCCAGTAATCAGGCTATTAAAAGCACTTCAGGTAATTAATTTCTCATGACACAAAGTTACAGAAATGGGAATTTATCTTTATATGAGTGTTAGTGCTTCTTAGCTCCTGTCACATCAGTATGAGTATAATTAACCTTTCAATTATTGTGTGATTTTCTTTCATGGAGTACAAGAGATAATGGCCTTTAAGGGTGTTGAGCTCTTTAAAGGTGTTTTGTAGTGTTAAAGCTGTAATAAATTCTGACGGTCAGAGCAATACAGGGAAGGAAAAAAGGAAGGATTCCCAATTCATTACTCTAATTTGCTAAAATACAGACCTAGTTTCTTTAGAATGATATTGCACTTCTCCACTTACAAATTACTAATCAAGTGAGCATACAATGGAAGATGCAAATATATACCTACATTTTAGGTTTCTCTTTGTTCTCAGGGGAAAGGTAAAATGAACACATACTGGCTGGTAGGCCACAAGAATTACAGCGTTCAGAATGACAGCCTGGTGTGTCACTGGAATCCCAATCTATCAAGAAACAAGAAAGGGGGAGATGGGAGCAATGCATCTGTTGAGCAGGTGGGGACATATTTTTCCACTGAACCTTATCTCAGCTTTTCAAGTGCTGGCATCATACAGCAGAAGAGCCACTCTTGGCAGGGCAGGTTAATGACTCCCAGCAACACTAAATTGCGCACTCCAAGAGACATAGAAAAGGACTTCCCATTCCCCGTAGAGAGCATGATTGTGTGTTGTCAGCTTACCAACAAACGTGTCTTTTGAAAGTCTCCTGAAGAATACTTGGAGAAGATCTAAGTAAACGTCACACAGAAAGACCGCTTAGCTCAGAACTGAGCCCAGGAGCCCAGAGATGTGAGGCAGTGGTGGTAACAGCCACGCCATCATGCTCTCTAGGTGGAGCTGTTCCACATGATATTCAATTCTGCCTTTAGCCTACCCTGCAATGAAAAAAATAATGTGAAACATACTGGCCAATGCTGGGGGTTTTCAAGTCACAGAACATCTGCTGTATTTAAAAAGTGCCAAACAATCTTCTGGGTCCATATCACAAAATAAGAGCAAAAACAAATGAATTCAGTCTTTTTTCAGCTGGGTATTTCCTACAAGTGATTCAAATGAAAAGTCAATCTATTTACATGCTGTACTGCGTTTTATTTTTTGTCTTCTAACAGTCTAACACTAGCATCACAGTCTGGAGCATCAGTGAGAACACTACCCCAGTTTCCATGGTGGATTACAGCCCTAATGGCCGGCCTCTGCCAGAGCCCGCCCACACCACAGCTCCAGAAAGCCCACTGTGCGTGTCGGCGCTGGTGGAGCAGCCCCCAGGCACGCCTGGGACTCTGGGATCAATGACCGGAGGGCTCCAGAGCTGCAGCAGTGAAGGTGCTAGCCCCAGACTCTGGACCAGCAATGGGACAGCTTTCTCTACACAAGGGGGCAAAACTGACCTGCTGCCTGGCTCAGTCCATCAGGAATAAACACGCTGGCTCCTCTGGACAGAATATGAATGTATTGTATATATTGTATTTTTGTATTGTTGAAAGATGGTTTTCATACAGCATACAGGTTTTCATACAATGCTGTTTTCATACAGCATTTCACAATGGGCAAGGTTTTTTAGAATTAGTGTTTTCTTATGTTAAGGAAGATTCACAACAGAATTTAGACTTTGCACTTGTAGTCAAAATGCATCTTTCTTCCTGTTTTCCCTTCAAAAAGGACTTTTGAAAGGTTCTGTATAATTGTAATAGGATTAAATGAAACACTCTAAAACTAAGGTTACAGGCTTATTTTTTGGTGATGTATAGAGACAGGTGATTTTATAGGCTAAAAGAGTTAAAATGTAGAGCAGTCAGAAATAAAAAAAAACATTTGACTATAAAAAGAGGAAATATCAACAGAAAAGAACAATTTTGTCTGGGAAGAAGATTTAATAACGGGTTTTATGCGATAGATCTATAATGATCTCAAAAGAAATAGTTCTCTTACAAATTGTCCCAAAAGCTACAGCTTTCGAATACAATTAAATGCAAATTCATGAACCGTTAACAAGTATTTTTCACATGCTGGTCTGTGTATGGATGTAAGGAAGATTACAAACACATTATTTGCATGAACAATTATTTATTCAGATGTGGTCCTCTTGAGAAAAAAATAGGCCTTTCTTGCCACAGTTTTATTCAGAAAAAATTACATCAAATTACCTTGTTTCCATGATTACAGCAATTATCTGTAGTGCTCACCTGATGTGGTTTGCCAGTGAAGGAGAAGGCTGGTACACTAAGACTCTATTGTTTGTTAATAAAATGAACCTCAGGTGTAATTGCACTTGGCTGATCACAGGACCAGACTGAAAAGCTAGCTTTTGTTGTTGCACACTGCTACTGCCAGAAATTTACATTGGGTGGAACAAAGCAAAACTAAATTTCTAGGGTTATTTTTTTTTATAAATTCTCTTTTACATGGAGCTTCATGAATATTTCTGTTTTAATTAGGTTTATGTTGTTGTTTCAAATCCTTTTTCCTGCATGAATGCCGTGAATTTAGAAAGAAAACTACAAGCATGGCATTGTGAAAAATTAAATAAAACTTTTAAAGACTTGCCAGTCACAAAAAAATGTCATAGTCATCTGTGTATTATTTTGAGATCTTCACGTGTAATCAACTAAAAGCCCACAGCTACAATTGAAATAGTCACAATAAATTACACACTAATAAACAGAGTATAATATGCTTTTTCTGGAACAATAATTCAATAATAAATAATATTTTATCTGTTTACTTATTTATCATTGAAAAACAGTCAATCACAGAAATACAAAGAATATATTCTAAACATAAGTCATTCTAAAAGAAAAGAATACATTTTAAAAGAATATTGTTTATTAGAACAAAGATACACATTAATCACCAATTGTGTGCTTCTCATTTCACCTTTGTAAATAAACATCATTTGTTTCATGAAGCACGGTCTCTACTTGAATTCGCCATCTTTGGCTTGAAAGAATATCTTATCTTGTCAGAGCTAACAAAAAGATGTTATTCAGAGGACAATGATACAAAAGCACCGCCATTGTTGAGTGAGTACGCCCTATACGCCAGGAGAGGGCGCCAGTTAGCTATTTCGTTCCTCTTTTCTCTCAAAAGTACTACACAAACACTTTGTGTAGGACAGCATTTGTACCTACAACAGATTTTGGTGAGAAGAAGTATTATTAACAGTCTGAAAGCCTAATACAATTAAAACCATAAGGAATTATAATAATTAATAACTCCTCACACCTGCACACATTTATTTCCTTTATTTTTTAGCTTTGTCAGTTCACAAGCCTTTTTGCAACAATTAGTGGACACTGTGGTAAGAAAAAATGATTCTTTGTTGTATCCGTAATGGTTGACTTTTTAAATGTAAGTTTCCCAGACACAAACAGCTCAAGTATACAACGGGTAGCATTTCATGGATGCTGGAAACTTAAAAAAAAAACTTTTTTTAAAGTCAAAGACCGTTCCTGCTAGTTGCTACAGGTGGTGGAGGTACAGATACAAATGTGTGCACAAGCAAGCTAGCAAACACCAGAATATTCTCATAAACCTGCATAGAAGGATATATAATTGAGCTCTATTTCTATCAAAGCCCATCAATTGAGAACAAATGTAATAGATCCGAACTATTTATAGCACCCATGCACACAAGGGTAAATTAAGAGCAGGAGTTAAAGACTAAAAATAGGTAACACTACACAGTATCATGGAATCTAGTGACTGGGACCCTTATCATGTTATTGAATCTCACCTGCTAGAACAGCTGGATGAGAGGGGATACAGGCAGCTAAGCACACAAGGGGGTCCATAGTATCTCCTCATATGTAACCTTTCTGATAAAGTGTCATATCTTGCCCATTAGACACAAATGAGGTGGATTTTTCTCAGACTGGTGACAGCACAGGGACATCATATGACTTGGAGCTAATGTCCTCTAAGCACTTCAAGTTTTCAGCAGACCTGGCTTGTCACACCGCGGAGCTGGGAAAAGCCAGCATAGCCGGAGCTCTTATGTGACACATACTGCTGTCACATTACTGTGCTCTTACCGCACTGAGCCGGCTCACACTAGCACTAGACACTTTTATTGCACAAATAAAAGGCACAGAATGTTTTTAATAAGCCAATGGAATGGGAGTTTCCCAAGGCAGAGCAGGAAAGATCCTGAGAATTACACCGCCTCCACTCCACTTCACCTCTAGCAATGTTAGAGGAAATCCTTTGGAAATGGTCCTTAAAGCTGATTCTAGGAAATCACCTGCTGTCAGACTGTTAAAACCAGTTGTTCTCTAGTGATCTTACTAGAGGGCAGTATTGTGTTTTATGCTTTCCACTTCAGAGAGTGCAGTTAGTTTTCAGGGCTTGCTCCATTCTTTCTTAATCATCCGTCTGTGTTAAAAATAAATAACCCCCCACCCCACAATGAAATGTGTGTGTAATTTTGAATTGAAAATGAGTACAGATTTTTAATGGTGTGCTATAACTGATAATATTTTGACTACATTTCATTCAATAGTTGTGATTAGCAAGTCTAGATGCATTTTTGAGTATGCAGGTGTATGTGTAGATAATTTCTTTATGGAACATAAAAATGTTTAGGAAATTAGAAAAAAACAATCAGGTAAATGTATAGTAGTACTAGTATATGTAGCATGACTTCCCATGTTCTGTATAACATTCAAAACACTGTGGTCTTTAAAACAAACAATAAAAATGTTATATTGTTTTAACACAAGGGTTAGAAAATGCACTGTTATCGGAAAGAAGCCAAAGTTTTTGAGTTTTATTGAGCAAGATCCCATATGAACATTGTCATTTATCAATCTACTTTCTGGCAAGTCTGACCATGGGACTTGGAACTCCAAAGTTTTGATGCTAGAAAGTTATTAGCATGAAATGAAAGGTTTTGATGGATGATAGAAAACATTTGATCCTGGATAAAGTGGATTTGTAAGTGGTTTCTGAAACATGGAAGCAGACATTTTCATAGGTCTGCCTTTAATACAATTGCTACTTCTCCCTGACAAATGAAACCCCATTAAGGAGTATTATTTATGAGTACCACTTGCTCCATTCCCCCCCCACTGCTTCTTCTGTAACCTATGCTGTTTAATGATGATGGATGATTTGCTTCAATTATTGAAAGCAGTCCATGCTAAGCTTGGCTTGACCCCACACTTTCATGTAATTGAACAATACATATACAACAGCAGAGCTAAACAGCACTGCATAAAGCCGTTCAGCCTACCTGTATCTATTTTTGAGGGTCAATCTCTGTGAATAATTCTGAAGTCTGATGTATACTGTTAGGCTTATTATAAACTCTATCTTCATCTTTCACAGCTTGAAATTAAAATTTGATGAAGAATGCTTCACAAAATCTTGCAGTCCTTCCACTGTCGCAACATGCCTGTGGTAACTCAGGACACATTTAAGAGACATGAACATGAATGTACATTTCCATCTGTTGGTGGTGGTGGAAGGGAGTCCCCATTACCTTTCAAGCACTTTGAGTGGAGTGTCCAGAAAAGCTCTATAAGTGTAAGAAATTATTTTTATTATTATTCACAAATGGTACAGTGTTACACAGATACTTGAGCAGAATGATTTAAAGTCTCTACTGGCAAATTCCGAAAAATGTTCATGGGTTTTCCAAGTTAATTACATGAAGGAAACTGCCCTTGATGACCCTATATGGTCTTCAATGAATGAAAAATACAACACAAATATAAATGAATTAAAAATAGCAGTGTCTTCCTTGCCTGTGAGATTTCAGTGCTTCAGTACTGGCAAACATCATCATCAGGTGGTAAGAGGGTTTGGTGTGTACCACAAACTTGTCCTATGAGGTTTTTTTACTCAACTCAAAAAGAAACTTGAAATTAAAAAGGCAAGAGCAGTGAGGTCTGTTTATAAATAAATCTTTCTGTGCAGCTGGACTGGAGCCAAATACTCCTTCGTAAGTGTCATTTACAGATGCCCAGCCTGTTTTTTACTAATCACATTCTTTCCCCATTTACCAACTTCGGGGCCAAAGGCTTAACTACTCCTGCTGAGTCCCAGTCCTGTCTCACGTGCACCCTGCTCACAGAGAAGACCAGTTAAATAAAGGTGGATTGGAACTGAAGAATTGTTTCCCAGAAAGCTCTAAAATCCTTCCTCTTACTCCATCTGCTTGCTGGGGTCGCCCGTCCACATGTCAGTGACACTCACTTCTCCTGAGGTGTGGAAACTGGCTAAATCATTAGTGGAAATTACTCCCAGTGCATTCCACTAGATAATAAAGCTGCCACAGAGGCTATCTGATTATTGTCTTGCCATCAGCCCTCTCTCACTGTCTCCCTGATGCCCACATCATCGCTTTCTCCTGGAATATTAATGCCTGCCTGGGCAATGATTCATAACGACATACACCAACTCCCTGCTCCCCCCACTGGCTGAGCCAGTGTCACTGAAGAGAAAACCAGCCTTTTAATTAGGACTCAGGTAACTGCAGAAGTCGACACCCAGAGAGTAATGATATTCAGACATGGGTGATTTCAGGGCATCAGGTTCGCACTGTTTTGTTTTACTTTGTTTCTGGGTGTCCAGAAAGAGCCCTCGATGTGATAACTAACAAGCTGCAATCAAAATAACTTTCTCTTACAACTGAAAGAATGAGGGCTGGGGAAGAAATCCTGTTTTTTCTTATTCCTTTCTGTCACTTTGTTTTCCTGAAAACTATATGTTTAAAAAAAAAACAACAACAGGGACACAATGGCAACTAACCAGCTTCAATAAACAAAAAGAAAATACAGTAGCTTAGGAACATTTCTGGAAACACAAACATTTGTTTTTAATTAGGATATGAATGAAAGATCACTTCCCAGATCCTTCATAAAGCTTCATTCAACTTTACCAATATATAGAAAATTAAATGTTTGGTATCAAACCCTGTCTACTTGATGTAAATTGAGATCAATGTTTTAAATCCACTTCAAATATCAGTTCTCAGTCTTTGAAATAAATAGAAACATGAAGAGGCAAGTAAATTAGCAGAGAATAAGTCTCTGAGGAAAACATATACCAACACAATGGATTCATCAAACCAGAAATTCCAACAATGGGCCGATCTCTGTGTGTGACCCCACAAGACATCTACATCACCTCAAGTGCTCCTGAGTTATTACAGTCAAACCTGAGGATTGCCAGGGCCCAGGAACAGTAAGATCACAACTTCTGCTCCAATCACATGAAACTGTACACTCAGGCTTCACGCTAATCCACGCACCCAGGGAATTTAGGATTTTCCAGGAGTAATTTATTCCCATCAAAGAGGTTAATCTTCCATCTTGGATTGTGGAGAATGACAGAGAGTGGATTACAACATAGACTTTACCTCAGACCAGTAAGTCAGCTATACAACCGCACCCTAATGGTCAGTGTACCCAATATTCTGTACAGTACAATCCTATGCCAAGCTTCTTTGACTTCTGCATTCTTCCTTTTCAGAGAACTTTCTTTGGATTGCATAAAAAACACTTCTACTGCCAGTTCTTTACAAATTAGAGTTCAATAAACAAACCTCCTAAGCAATAAGAGAAAAAAAGACTCAATCCACATTGTGAGGCATAGAAATACATTTAATTAGATGATTAAATCTGATTGCAGATAAAAATCAGAATATGGTAGCTGACGCAGTTATCTGATGACGGAGC